ATTTTTTTCTATTTAATAATATTTATTTCAAACTTGCAAGTTGAGTTAAAAGTTATGGTAATAAATTCATTTTTTTTTTATTAAAACTTTCACTTTAAAGAACAAAAAGAAGTAGGTTCAAAATGATTACTTTTAACATATTAAAAATCAATAATAATTTGAAAATAATTAATTATAAAAATTATATAATATATAATTAAAATAATTACTAATCTGGATATAATTAAGGAAATAGGAGTTGATGTTGGGTTGGGTTGGTTACATTTTTAACTTTATAATGCTATAACTCATTGAAAAGTGTACGAATCAACACAATTTTTTTATGAGAAATAATATTTTTTAATAATCCCTTTTTCATTCGACATACTTTATCTTAATCAGGGTATTAATAAGAAACTAGCAGATAATGTAGCTTTTGTAATTATCCACCAATTTCTTAGAATTAAACACTATCTACTGATTTGCATCGAAGCGTTTCTTATGATAGTGATTTTAATCACTGTCAGATTAAATCTATACTGGACCCAACTATGCAACGTCCCCACTATGCCGCGTCTCCACTGTGCTGGGTTTTTTTTTTTAAATATTTTCACTAATAAGAAAAATATTTTAAGTTACATATAATTTGAGATCATTTGATGTATTGATTGTTAATATTAGTCCAGTATAATGTCACTGTTAATGACAAAATAATAAAAATATCTTGATAAAATTAATACATTTTTAGATTCAAATCGAAGCTAATATTTATTTGTAGTCTTAGGGCACATAATCAAAATTTTATTTGTGGGGTGACCAAAAAAAATGTTTTCTTCAGCTACTCAATACTATAAACCTAACTTAAAAACTAAAATGTATGTTAAACATTTTTTAAGGTCGTCCATTAACTCCTCTTGGATACATATTGAGTTATACAAAAATAAGCCAAAAATCCATGGCACCCCTTTAAAACAAAAATAATTAGGGATTCTACCCCATATGAATGGTAATAGATTTGAAAGTGCATGACAAAACCTAGCGATGTCACTGATAAGGGGAGTATAGAAATAATGGCCCTCTTAATTTTAAAATACTTTCTTAAAAAAGACTTTAAAAAAATGGGTCTTATATCAACAGAATTAGTGAAATGTATCTATCCCAAAAATTTCTCGGTAACAATGTTTGGTTAAACACATATATATTTAAAAAACTACCACTTAAAATAAATAAAATAACAAATTTTCCTTTTTTTAAAAAAATTATCTTATTTTTAACATATGAAAATAAACCAATGTAAACATAGTGGAAAATTAAAAAAAATGTTAGTAATTTAAAAAGTATTAATCTTATTATCATGAATCATACATTTTTTCTCAACAGTGCCGACCTTAGGATTTTATTAGTTTTATACTACCATTATTTTTTGCATTGTTAATATATGAATAACTTTTTTAATTTGACGAACAAAAATAAACCTATCCCTTGAAAATATCATGGAATAGTAAACTGATTTTTTTTAAAAATTGAAATGATTTATAGTGTGCCTTAAATAACTGATTAAAATATATTATAAATAATAATAAAGTAAATATTAAGTAATTTGATGAATCAAAATTAAAAAATTAATTAATTAATATGTATAGTATACATATAGTATGTAGTATATACATACTAATAATGTTAGTTAAAAAAAAAACAAAAATATTTCAAAATTGTCAACAAATCTAATTCTGAGGTAAGTTTGTGGTTCATTGGTTTTAATTGTATATGTTCTTCTTTTCTCTCGCCTTAATCCTAACTACTTGGGATAAGCCCACAGGGTAGCTTAAACTTCCAATTGACACGATCTCTTTTCGGTCTTCCTCATCCTCTTCTTCCTTTAACGGTAATTTTCTTAACGTTCAATAGTTTCAATTGTATGTAAAATTTGTTAATCGTATGTATTATGTCTTCGAATGTGTTTAATTTATCAATTATTGTTAAATTACTCAAAATTAATTGCAAAGCTTGACACTAATACGTTAAATAGTTAATTTAACTATTTAACATAAGTAGTTAGGTTTTTTACACTAATTTAATTGGTAACTTAATTGTCTAATTAAGTTACCTTAAAACTAGTAACTTTTTTGAATAATTTGAACTTAATGAGTAACTTTGTATTTTATTAATTAAATTTGTGTTCAGTATTTCTCGTATTGCATTTTAGCTTCGATGCGAAGCTGAGATGGTATTGGTTTTACTAAGATGTGTTGATTTTTTTTATTTTTTTATTTTTTTGTGTCTGTTATCACTTTTTCTCAGCTCTCACCGAACCGATTTCTTTCAATGATACGTCAAAAGATTACCCTCAAAAATTGAAAAAATTTCCCTCGTACCCGTAAATCAGGGAAATTTCCAAAAAAATTACAAATTTAAAAATCACTAATTTTCGAAATTTTTTCAATTTTTTTACTAAAAACTGCCATAACTTTTTTAAAAATAAATAAATCAGTATAATTTTTTTTATAGATGCATGATGTCTTTACCTATCATTTGGTATATTTTTGTTTTATATCTGACCCTTTACCTGCCAACAGAGGGAGATTTAAAATGACAATTTTTTCACAAAATATTTACTTTTTCAACTTAAATTTTGAAAGTGTTCCGGAAAGTCTGACACTGTTATATATATATCTTAAATTAAAGTTAATGTAATATACTTTAATTAAAAAAAAAAAAATTTTACCTCTGGTTTTGTTTTCATTGTGAAAATGACTACCGTATGCAAAAATATGCTATTTTTGTGAAAAAATTCTCGATTTTATTTTTTATGTTTTTATCTTTATAATGCTATAACATATTGAAAAGTGTATGAATCAACACAATTTTTTTATGAGAAATAATATTTTTTAATTATCCCTCTTTCATTCGACATACTTCAGGATATTAATAAGGAACTAGCAGATCATAGCTTTTGGAATAATCCACCAATTTTTTTAAATTAAACATTATCTAAAGATTTGCATCATAGCGTTTTTTTCTTGATAGTGATTTTAATCACTGTCAGATATCATTATACTTGATCCAATTATGCTACGTCACCACTGTGCCGCGACCTCCCTGTCCTGGGTTTTTTTATTTTAATATTTCTGCATATTATTTTTTAACATAATATAAAATTAAATCATGATAAACCATTACAATAGATAAATTATTATTTTTTAAACTATTCGAAAGCTCTATTATTTAAAGAAAGAACGATCTTTATAGTTATAAATAACATTTGTTTTTCTTATGAAATAGAAAAGTATAAGCAATAAAAGAGCAGACTTTTAAGTATATGGGTACTCAGTCTGTTTACTTTTAAACATAATTAAGAAACATTTCCTTAATGATTTATTCGAAAATGATATAATATGTAAACATGTAATTAATTATGTAATAAATGAAACGCTTGAAATAGTATGGTAATAATAGTATTATAATAGATATAATATAGTCGTTCTCTCTACGTTTTTTACCACTTTTAATTCCGAAAAATAAATAACTTACTCACTGTAGATCTTAATATTCTTATAAGGTGGCTTTTAAAAATTATTTAAATGAAGATAAAATGTTCTTCTGAAAATTTTTTAAGTCTTGTATTTATAAAATTTCATAATACGAATGCCTACATTTAACTTAATCATTTCAGAACCTTGCTATTACAATTAAATTATTTGATTATAATATGCAAAATTATTTTTAAAACCAAAATGCAATATTTTTATTAGATTGAGCATGAAAATAACATAATTAAAATATAGCTAATTTAATAAAACTAAAATGATATACCTAATTAGCCAAAAATAAAAAAACCGTAAAATAATAGTTATTGTATTAATTTTAAAATTTTAACTTCAAAATTTCTTGAAATAAAAATTTAGTACGTCATTATGTATATTGTAAAAGTTAAAAAACAAAAAAGATGCTTATTTATGAATTTCTCATGAAAAGTCCAGAAAATATTTAAAATGCAGAATTTTAAGGCTTAGCTATTAACTAATTTTTTTTTTGTGATTATATGTCGATTAGAAGGTATAGACTTATAAGACCCCCTCTAAATATGACCTTTTACTAAAAAAAGACCTATTACACCTATTATATCTAGGAATAGAGTTTATTTAACAAAATAAAGATAAAATAATATTTTTTCTATATATCTAGGTATTTTCCATAATAACTTATGAATTTACTACTTTATGAAATATTAAGTAATTTATTAAATGACTTTAAATATTTAAAGATATGGTAAAGCATTTCAAATAATTTAAAATTGTTACAATTGTATAAACAAAAATATTATTATAAAACCTTGGAATGGTGGTTAAACTTGCGCCAATTAAATATATATTATCATTTTAGTCATATCAATCTATAGAAATAGTAAAATGTTTACTAGTATTATTAAAAAAAACTATTTCTTGACAAAATTTAAATAATGAAATCTATCAAATATTTATCTGACCCAAGTTTTATAACCGCTTCAAGTTGACCTATTTGACCTTGCCTATATTAGTCAATTTTTGGTTCAATATTAAATAAACTATATATGTAACCAAATAATTTAATTTTGTTCAAGCTAATAACCTTAGAAGTTGAAGCTTAAAAAATAATAAAAAAAAACTATATAATTAGAAAAAATTAGAAATATTTTAAATAAGTTCTAATATCTAAAAAATAATTTTTAAAGAAATTTCTTTATCATTCAAACTATATATCATCAAATTAATAATAAGTATTTGTGGATTTTTTTATCAGTGTTGTTCTTGCTGAATTGGTTGAAACTGAAGAGGAATTTGGTCAAGATATTCAAGAAGTAGTAGAAAGGTATTTAAATCCACTAGAACGAAATGATGCGCCCAGGTTGGTTACAGATAGCAAAGATATTATTTTTAACAATTTAAAACAAATTTCACAGTTCCATAACACGTAAGAATTCTATTGGATTACAATTATTTGATGATTCATAAATAATTTCTGTTTATTTTTTAAAGAGTATTAATATCTGGTTTAAAATATGCTGCTAGCGAACCAAAAACAATGGGAAGAACTTTTTTGCGACTTGTGAGTAATGGTTGAAATTTCAGTGAAAATTATGTATTTCCACATAATATTGTTAAGTCTCTAATATATCTACAAAACAGGGTTGAAGTGGGTTATATGCGGCTTATTGATCTTAAATTAATAAGTCTAAAACCTTATTTTAAAATCCTAGATGTTCTTGATATTTGCGAGCCAAATAATCGCATCAATTAAAATGTGATGTCATTATTCCATTCCCATATTTAAGATGTGATTAAAAAGAATAATTTTCCAAATAATATTTAGACAAAAAAAAAAGATTTTCAGTTAAGCGAAATTACATAATGCATCCAACAAAATTTGTATTTCGACAATGTCTAATTACTTCTTCAACGCTACTATTTAATTACCATATAAATATTTTTTAATTTTAAAAAACCTTTTTTGGTAATTTTAACTATATTAATTATTATTATGTTTTATTTTATTAGTTAAAAGTAGTTAATGTCATATTGCGAAAACAAATTTATATAACTGAACATCTTTTAACTAAATTAGTTATCTAATTTACGAAATTAAACTAAAAATTATATGGTGGTTAAAAACAAAAAAATTCAATAAGCTCGAGTTCAGACCAGGATTCCTTAGCACTAGGGACGACCCTAAAATATATTTTATTTATATATATTTTTAAAAAATGTTTCCCAAAAAGGATGCAACCGCTCCGTGGGAACAGTGAACATTTTTTCACATAAACAAAAATATAATTTTTTAAATCTTATTGAAACTAAAGAGTGTAGTATTTTTGAAAATATTTGTTCTGTTAAAATTAAAGTGATCATATAAAAATGTAAAGTAAATTTTCCATTAATGAAAATTTTAGACCCAAACTATTATAGTAGGCTATTTCCAAAAAAAAATAAGGTGAGCGGAGGTGAGAATCTAAAAACTAATAAAATAATTAGCTTGCTTAGAAGGGGGAGGACAGATTTTAGATTATCTTATTAAGAAATAATGTAATGTTTAAGATAATTTTTTTTTTCTAAGGGGGTTTCATAAAAATTTTTTTATGTAACCATACCTCTTTTAATGATTCTCGAATTTTCATCTTAGTTGACCTTTTTTTTGTTGCTCAAAAATTTTTTTTTGTACCGATTTTTGAATTTTTGTAGTTCTCATAAATAAAATGATGAAAATTTTCTCAAAATAATTTTTAGTTGCATCAGAGTTATTGTATATTATTTTAGTTCAAAAGTTGGCTTTAGGAGGGGTTTTTTATGTGGTAACCCCCATAAGTATTCCACTGAACGTATGTTATTTATTATGTAAAAGTAGTAGATTTAATAAATTTTTAAGTTTCAAAATACTTATAAAATAATATTAATTTAGGAACGAGATTTTGATAAACATGTTAACTATTGTCAAACTGAACCTGATTCACAAGAATTTTTAGAAGAAAACTATGAAGTACATGAGTATTTTGAGGTTAGTTCATTTTATTTTAGTTTAAAATAAATTTAATTTATTTTGTATAGTTAAAGATTATTTCAATTTAGTAAATTTATCTAAAAACTATGTACAATAAATTTGATCTATATCAGACTATTTTTTTATTAACTTCAAATTATTTAAGACTTTTAATTATAGTTTATTATTAAAATAAAATACATAGTGCTATTATCGGTATAGTAAAAGCTTAAAAATTTAACCGATTTTTATTTTTCTTATTATTTGAGTAAAGAAATTTAAAATAATGTGAATTTATTTTTAATGAACTATTAGTCATGTATAAATGGAAAAAAATAAGTACACTAATTGGGGCTATGCAGTGTAATCTTCTTTTAGGAAAAATGTAGACAGATAATTATGTTGTAATTATTTTTTAAGTTATGTTAATTTAAGATTTTTCTTATATAATTATAAATAATAGTTGTCTCTGTATAGGGAAATATTATTAAGTTAAAATGTATCAAAAATTCCATCTATTTAAAAAAAAAAAAAAATGGTAGCACAGTGGAGGCGTGGCACAGTATGGACGTCGCATAGTTGGGACAAGTATAGGTGATATCTGACAGTGATTAAAATGATTATCAAATAAAAACGCTTTGATGCAAATCTTTAGATAGTGTTAAATTTTAAAAAATTGATGGATTATTCCAATAGCTAAATATTCTGCTAGTTCCTTATTAATATCCTGATAAAATATCCTGAAGTATGTCGAANCCTGTATAAAGGGAAATGGTCCGATTTTAAAAAAAAGTATGTCGAATGAAAGAAGTATATATAAAGTATTTATCATTAAAGAATAAAGTTGATTCATGCATTTTTTAAAAAGTTATAGCAACATAATGTTAAAAAATGTAAAATATAATATCAAGAATTTTTTCACAAAAATAGCATATTTTTGCATACGGTAGTCATTTTCACAATGAAAACAAAACCAGAGGTAAAATTTTTTTTTTTTTAAATTAAAGTATATTACATTAGCTTTAATTTAATATATATATAAAAGTGTCAGTCTTTCCGGAACATTATCAAAAGATAAGATTAAAAAGTTAATTTTTTGTAAAAAAGTTACCATTTTGAAACCCTTCCTGTGGATTGGTAAAGAATCAAATGTTCACAAAAATATAAAAAATAATAGATAAATATCTAAATTATATATAAAAAAAAAATTATATTGATTCGGTCATTTTTAAAAAAGTTATGGCAATTTTAAGTAAAAAAAATTGAAAATTACTTTTTCGACTTTAAAAAAGTAAAAAAATTTTAATAAGTTCAATTTCTTATGTCTTATGAACTTTATTCTATGTCAATTAAATTATATAATATTCATGAAAGTCAGTGTATTCCCTAATAAGATATTTTAAAATAAAATAAAATATAAAACCCAGAATGTTAATACAAAAATATAATATTTTTTTGTGTCGTGAAAACTCAATCTGAGGTTTCGCTGGACTGATTTTGATGGACAATATGTCAAAAGATCACAAATCGTATCTAGTCAAAGACCTTACCCTCAAAAATTGAAAAAAATTCCCTCGTTCCCCGTAAACGTGGGAAATCCCCCAAAAAATTACAAATTTAAAAATCGCAAATTTTCGATATTTTTTCAATTTTTTTTACCTAAACTTGCCATAACTTTTTTAAAAATATCCTAATCAATATAATTTTTTCTTTATAGATACCTGAGGTATTTACCTATAATTTTATATACTTTTGTGAACATTTAACCCTTATCAGACCACAGGAAGAGTTTTAAAATGGTAATTTTTTTACTAAGAATTAACTTTTGAAAATGTTCCGGAAAGACTGACATTTTTATATATACCTTAAATTAAGGTTTATGTAATATAATTTAATTTGAAAAAAAAAATTTGACCTCTGAACTTGTCTTCATAGTAAAAACGGACATCGAAGTTAAAGAAAAACGTACGATTTCCGTGAAAAAATTCTCGATTTTATATTTTATACCATCATTATTTAATTTATATTTTATATAACTTTTGGAGAAATGTATGGATCAATATTATTATTTTTTTATAAATAATTTTTATATACCCCTTTCATCTGACACACTTTTTTTGTAAATCAGATCATAGCCCTTTATACAAGGGGGGTCATAACTTTAAACATGCGTATTGAAACTAGGATATTTTCATTTTAATTTTTGAAAGTATTCCGGAAATACTGACACTTTTATATATATCTTAAATTAAAGCTTATGTAATATACTTTAATTTGAAAAAAAAAATTTGACTTCTGGATTTGTCTTCATGGTAAAAATGACTACCGCATTCAAAAATTTGCTATTTAAGTGTTAAAATTCTGGGTTTTGTATTTTATTTTATTTTAAAATACCTGACAAGGGAAGTACAGATTTTTATAAATATTATATAAATTAAAATTAATATAGCATAGAAAGTTAAACTTATTTAAATTTGTTTGCTTCTTTTAAGTCGAGAAAAATAACTTTGAAATTTGAACTAGCTTAAATAGCAAATTTATTTAACCGACAGTATCAACGTACGGTTCCCGAGTTGGTAAATCCTGTGTTTTACACGGTAAGGGTACGAGGTTCCAGTCCGCGTATGGCCATCAATTTTTTGCATTTTTTCTTAATTCTTTTTAAGTTAGTATAAATTTTTAACTCTTTGGATTTTTTTCTCATTTAGATTCAATAACTACAATAAAGATCAAGGATCCCATCATTTTAGTCGCCCCTTGTAAGAAGAAATTTCTTATTCGTATTAAAATTATTTTACTATATTTTAAGTTTTAGTTTCGATGCAAAGCTAAGAAGATATTTTTTTTGTGACTATCATTTATTTTCTCTGCTCTAACTTGACCTATTTTTTTCAACGATACGTCAAATGATTACAATTCGTATCTAGTTGAAGATATTACCCTCAAAAATTGAAAAAAAAAATTCTAATTTATCAATTAAACTGTTAATGAGTATGTTGATCAATAGAATCATTCATTTCTAATGTTTTCAAAATATTTATTAATGAATCAAGTTTGATATGATAGGTTTCAATTACAAAATTAAATCATTTTACTTTTTAATTTAATCATTTTTTGTGTGTGCTAATACTAGACTATAATATTCCAAATTTTTTGATAACATGTTGCTATATAAATCATTTCTTAAAAAAATGATAGTTAATTTCTCCTGAATTAACAATGGATTTTTACAATTGTAATCAAATTTTATAATACGCTCAATTGAGTAAATCTTTTTAACAACTTTGTTTTAATTGGTTCATTTAGTTAAAGTAAATCATTAAAATTAATTAAATTCTCAATATTTCAATTGTAGAAACTTTTCAAACAACAAAAGTTACTAGGAAATTATTACAATTACTTCTATTTAAGTTATCTATTACAATAAAAATGCAAAAAAATATTGAACTTTTCTGATAAATTTACAATAAATAATAATTATATAACTTTCTGACTGCATATTAATCTTAACAGTACAATTTTTTTAATTCTCATAAAATTTTCTGTTTAATGGTGTCAATTTCGAACTTGACAATTTAGCTAATAGTTATGGTAAAATAAATTTTTTTTTTTATTATAAACATTTACAACAATCAACTTTAAATGATTAAAAAAATAGGTTAAATATGTCATTTTCCTTATTTTTAACATATTAATAATCAAAATCAGTATTAATTTAAAACAATTTTATTTTGTTCTTAATTATATTTTTTTATATGTAAATACTATTCTTTAATAATATTAAAACTTAGAAGTGATAGAAAAAGTCTAATTGCACATTAGAAAACATCGCGAAAAGTTGATTTAGAATAGTATATTTTTGTTTCTGATGAACGTTCCTTGTAGTCCAGTGTATAAAACTTAAAACTTTGTTAACTGTTATAACTTTATCAAAAATGACCAAATCAGTATAATTTTTTTTTATTTAGATGCATGTCTTTATCTATCATTTGGTTTTTTTTTAATAAATCTAAACCTTTACCTTTAAACAAATAATTTTCGAGTTACATTACTTTTAATATAAGTACTAAAATTTATATTCCATTTTCTTCATTTTACGATTACTTTTTATCATGTTATACTTACATTAAACACAATGTTATAAATGCATATGTGTGAGTTTATTTATTTATTGTATCATTAAAGTGTAGTGTTTATTAATATACAACCGATAGAGTAGGTAATTGATTTGACGCTATATTGTTTAAACCCAACTAAACGCTAAATTGTACATTCCCAAACAACAATCATATTATGTCAATTGCCACCGGTATTTCTGGTAATTTTTTCTTTTTCTTTGACTTAATCCCAACTACTTGGGATCGGCCACCCTTATCCTAAGCTTCAACTTAACACGTTCTCCCACATCTTCTACGCTCACATCAGCTGTCCTCATGTCGCATTCAATAACATCCCTCAATCTCCTTTTTGGTCTTCCTCTACCTCTTCTTGCTTCAAAATTCATTTCTATAACTGTTCTTACAGCTTCCCATTCTTCTCTCCTCATAACATGACTAAACAATCTAAGTCTATTTTCTGTCATCTTATCCACGATTGACGCAACACCTATACTTCCTCTTATATGCTCGTTCCTTATCCTATCTTCTCTAGTCACTCCACTCATCCAACTAAACATTCTCATCTCTGCTACACTAATTCTCTGCTCTACTTTCTTATCAACCGCCCAACACAATGATCTACACATCATAGCTGGCCTCACAATTTCATACTAAATTTATAAACTATAATTAGTATTTATTCATATATTACATTTTAAAATCAAAGAACTATTAATCAGGATATAATTAAAGAAATAAGAGTTGATGATGCTTTTGGAATAATCCACCAATTTCTTAAAATTAAACACTATCTACAGATTTGCATTGAAGCGTTTCTTATGATAGTGATTTTAATCACTGTCAGATATCATCTATAATTGTCCCATCTATGCATCGTCCACACTGTGACTCGACCCCACTGTTCTACCGTTTTCTTTTTATATGTAAATACTTATTTTTTAATAATATTATCAATATTAAAACTTAGAAATGATAGAAAAAGTCTAATTGCACATTTGAAAACAGGGCAAAAAGTTTATTTAGAAAAGTATATTTTTGTTCAGTGCCGCCAGAAACGGGTAGACAAGGGGGACAGTTGCTCCCTTGGTCAAAACACGAGGGGGGCAAAAGTATCTTTAGTCCCTTCAATAGAATCTGACAAAAAAAAAATTACAATGAATTTGGAAATTAATATAACATTACCATACTTAATTATTTGGCTATTCATTTTAGGATTAAAAAAAGGTAGCACAGGTTGAAAAAGTTGAATTTTGTAAAAAGTTGCTATTTTGTAACCCCTTTTATGGGCTAGTACAGGATCAGATTTTCAAAAATATTATATCAAATAAAATAGAAATGCATGAGGTTTCAATATAAAAGAAAAATTATTTTTTTTTGTTCATTTTTAATAAATTATATAACTTTTCAAAAAAAAAGTCGAAAAATTTTCAATTTTTTAGGGTAATGTCTTCAACTATATACAATTTGTGATTTTTTGACGTAAATAAATAAACACATCATGGCAAAATAATATGTTCTCAGATTCGCATCGAAGCTGATAATATGTATTATTAAGAGTAAAATTTATAAATTACTGATTTTTTTTATACGATCACTAAAATCGACCAAAAAAAAGCTTAACCCGCTTTTTAGCTTAGTAACAATCAAGGGGACCTAGTTTTAGTCATTAATTTTTTGCTCCCGCCCATGTAAAAATAGTTCCGGTATCCCTGTTTTTTATGATAGTTCCTTGTATAAAACTTATAACTTTGTTATAAATAACAAACATTTTTTATTGAAAAGTACTTCTTCAAGCCCTTTAAATTTTAATAGATAATATTTTATCATGGAGATATTTGATTCATATCAATTCTAATTTTTATTTTATTTCATTTGGTACATTCAAAATTAAATATTTATTCACACATTATATATATATTAATTTTTATAATATAAGCTCACAGCTTATAGGTTGAATAACAATCTTGGCCTTTAGCCTATTTGCTTTTTACTGTTTCTCTGAAAATAGATGGTATGCTATCTTTAAAAATTTTACGCAAAATAAAACAACAAAAAATAACTATTAACCGCATTTATAATTTCATAGAATAACATAAAATATCTCAGAACTAATCAATCAAGATTTGAAAAATAGTCTTTAAATCTGATATATCTATCATCATTTATGAAGTAATAATATAATATTATTTTAATATTTACAAAAATCGTATAATTTTTTAAGTAAAAAGTTAGTTTAAATTTAATTATTCGATCAAAATTATTTGCTTAATCTAAAAAATGTTATATAAAAATTATAAAAAAGTATTATTGCGAAAATAAAGTATAATAAATAAGTATATGTTTAAAATAGCAGATGTGCGATTATTTATTTATATACTATACATTTTAACGGAAGAGCTGCGAACTCTACTTTTTTATTTATACATACACTAACACTTGTTGTGATGATGTCTTCAAAATTCATCATCAGTATATTTTTACACTTTCTGCTGTCAGGTCGAAATTCGGTCACTGGGAGAATGAGACTGTAGAGTAAACTCTATCAAAAGGGATTAAAATAAAATATGTAATTCATATATTGTCATTACAGGATGAACGATTAAAGCATAGTGATGATAAAAGTCTTTCTGAACATCTTAAATTACCAATTCAGCGTATTAATGACTATCAGCTTTTATTAAAAGTGAGTATAGATATTAATTAAGTTGAAGCAAAACTTAATTATATAATTAAAAGACATTTGTAAGCTATTTTTTCTCGTTTATGAAATATTAATAAATCATTTTTAGTATAAAAATCAATTGTTCTGTGAAACAATAATTTAAACTAAAGATTACTCGTTTCAAATTTAATATTTCAAGCTTTTATTATGTCGTGATTATTAAAACTCTGAATCAAAATTTATATACTGCATTATATTGTATTATAAGAAAAATAATAAATTAAAAATAGTATCAAACTTAAGATATTTACTAAACAATTGTATAATTAAAAGTAATAACAATCTTATAATAAAAAATTAGATTTAAATTTGAGTTATTTTTATAATATAGCTAGATAGATATTCTATAACTACTACTTTACTTTTATTAATTAATTGTGTATAATTTGTTTTTATTACTCATTATTAGGAGTTAATTAAATATTCGTTATTAATCGGAGAAGATACTACTGATTTAGAGAGAGCTCTTGAGTTAATGTTATCAATCCCTCATCGATTTAATGATATAAAATTTTTAACTAATATCGAAGGATACCACGGCTCTATTCACAAACTAGGTCGATTATTAAAACACGTAAGTATAGAAATATGTCAGGAATCACTATTAAGTTAAAAATAACGTGGAAGGTCAAGTGTAGTAATTGATGCTTCTACTTTATTGTGCCTTTTATAAAAAATTTCAATGTTTAATGCTAAAAATAATTACGTATATAATATAACATATTTTTAAAACTCAATGACTTAATTAAAATTTAGGGATGGTATTATGTTCAAGATGCTGAAGATTCAAAGGGACACCAACGATACTGTTTTTTGTTTAAATCAAGAATACTAGTGTGTAAAGTACGTCGTATTTCTGAAGAAAGATCTGTGTTTGTTTTAAAAGACATTATCAGGGTAACTTAAAATCAAATATATAAATATCTTCTGTAACGATTTTTATGAATTCAATTAAAATGATAACATAATTATAGTTGCCTGAAGTAACTGTTAAAGTAGCTCCTGACAGTAAGCGTGTTTGGGAACTTTACCATAACCAAGGAGAAGTTGGAAATTATCCTTTTACGTTTAAAGCCAACGAAGACATAAGTAGAGACCAGTGGATTTCTGAAATTAAAGATCATCAAAACGATTTACGTAAGAAAAACTAAAAAATTAAACAATGAAAATTATTAATATAAAAATGATAACATTTTACAATTATATAATGTGTTTATAATATTTACGTTTATAAATATTTAAATATCCTCAATAAAAAAATACTTATGTAACAAAAAGGTGAAAAAGAAGAGTTGAAAGAACGGTGTTGGGAAAGGGATAACATTTCTATTTGTGAAACAAGCGTATCATCAACACCAGGTTTTTAATCAATGATTAATTATGCTTTTATTGGGCTTAATAATAATTTTCTAGAATATTCAGAATGTAGTTGTGTTTTGAATTAGTTTTATTATCAATTAGGGTTGTCACGTAAATTTGTTTCTGAGGAACAACCAAGTCAATTTGATCGGTTTGAAATTCGAGAACATTTTTAGTGAATTTCATAACTTGACTAAAAAATTTGTTAGTTTTATTTTAGGTACTTTAAAGTTGTCGGATTTTCAAAGAGCAAATTGCTTCTCTTAATCTACAAGTTTCACTTAATGTAGTTTTGAAAAAAAAACTGATTCAATATACATTTTCATATTTTATAGTAATAAATGATAGCTTTTTTTAATATAACAAATAATAACAACAACTTTAGCAACTAAGCTTTTTTCCAATTCAATATTCTATTGCTATTATTTAATTTGACTTTGCCTAATTTTTTTTTGGCACTTCTTATTTAAAAAAAAAAAAGGTAACTGTTTTTAATAATTAAACAATTTTAGTGACGAAAGTTGAACATAATAACGACGATCTCAAAGTTCAGAAACAGAAAGACGAAGATTTATTTGAACCTTTAAAAGGTATTGAGTTGGATATATCTTCTGAAATTGAAGAAGGTTTGGATCCTATTGAAAGAAGATTAGCACCTAAACCACTGAAACACGTAGAAGAACCCAAACGACCTCCTCTTACACTGCCTCATAAACAACCAATATTTGAATGTACATCACCACCCGGTGAAGTTCAAAAATCTCCAGAACTTCCTAAACAAGAAGTTGAAGGTATGTAAACATAATTAAGAAAAAAAAATTTACCTTAAATTAATTACGCAATAAATCAATAAAAAAAAGAACCTTTTTCCTCCAATATGAAAATATACAGGGTTTATAAAATATACATTGTTACAAACAATGAGAACAATAGAAACCCGTTTCCTGACTTAATGAACACCCTGTATACTAGTGTTCAGAAAGTAATGAAACAGGTCAATTATTACAAACAATGAGAACAATAGAAACCTTTTTTCTTACTTACTGAACACTCTGTATATTTAAAATATCGCAGGGTTTGTAATTTTGTAAATACTAAAAATAATGTATAAATATAAAATCATTTTTCGTTAATTATAAATTTAGCTATGAAAGAAATTTAATATCTTTGCTATGATCATAATAACCACGCTAAGGACAATTTAAATTTTTTGAAAAATATATTTAACATGATTTTTATAGGTATAATATATTCTTTTTTAATAAACTAACTTTTCAATGGGAATGTAAAAATATTGATTTACTCTAGGATAGAGAACTATTATTTAATAGAACATAGCGTAAAATTGATATTAAAAGAACTACAACAATATATGTGGATTACGTAACGTAGTCACAATTTTCTTATTTTTCTTTTAATTTTTTATAATGTTAAATATATAAAAAATGAACCTAATATACAAAAAACTTAAGTTTTTTAAAATAAAGTCTACATTTTGATTGTCCATAAAACTTGAAAACTATTTTACTTTTGAAATGAGATTTATTGAATTTAGAAAAATTGAGTATTATCTCAAATTTGTATATTTTTTTTGTATGAAAATATACTGATATTCTGACTGCCAAACGCGTAGTCGTATTCAGGTTACTATATTATTTAAAACCGAAATATATTCAATGAAGCATGTGTAGGCGTACCTTTATAATACGTTTGGTATATAAATCATTTTTGATGTGATATATTTAAATAAAAATAAATGTATAAATACTTTTACACATACAAATAACACATGGTTACAATAACATAAAAACAGAAAAAAAGTTGATATTATGATGTTCTCTATAATCTGAGGAGATTTGTTTATGGTGATAGTTTATTTTTAGTCTTCAAACAAGAATATGTATATTAGAGTGGTCCTTAAAATACAAATTTTCAAATTTCGTTTTACGCGCGCCAAAAAATTGTTCTAATACATGTAATAATAAGCTGTGCAAAATTTGATCCCGATAGGTTGACGTTTAACTTCTACAAATATTTACCTTCTAAAAGTCAAAAGTTCCATAAATATTATGTTTACCAGTAAAATTCATATATTTTGGCAATTAAAGATGAAACGTTCAAGTGTAAAAAAATGTTTAATGTAAAGATGCTTAAAATTTAATTTTAGTTTTATAGAAAAAAAAAAATTGTTTTACATGTTTTCTGGCGAGGTAATGAAGAAAAATTATAAATAATAATCATTTTTCTATGATAATTAAAAAAATTGACGATTTTGTTTTTTTTTTCAATCTCAAATAAAATAAGTAAACAAATAATAAAATGCTAAAAAAAAATTTTAAAAAATGATCTTAATGCTCATAAAAATTATAAAATTAAATAATATTAAAAATATTATTTAATTAATTTTTATTTTTTTATTTAAATTTATTTTTAGCAAATAAATTGCTTTTGACATCCATCGAGCGTGATGAAAAGCACCAGGGTAGTGAAATTTTACACCATTTAGTAGGGGCATGGCATCCAAAAAAATAACACATAAATGGAGAAATTCTTTGTAGTAATTTCTACATTGTTGAATCATTAATGTTTCCACACAAGATTTTATTACATTAATTTTAGGGTGTTCAACTGCATTTTATATAATTATATCATTGATACCAATATCAAAATTCAACAAATCTAGACTAGTCCAACTTTCTTTAATTTTTTTAAAAATTGGTACATCTGGACCAGTTGTACATAAATTAAGTTTAACCTCGAAAATATTTTTTAATACTAATTCCAAAATATATCTACGACATGGTAAATACAACACATTACGCTCTAGGAATTGTTCAAGCAATATTATTATAAAAAAATTAAAGAAAGTTGGACTGATTTTATTAGTTGTTTTTTTTTGTGTGTGTCTGTTGCCACTTTTTTTCAACCCACAGGGAACAATTTTTATTTGAAGAAATTAAAATGGTCGAGTTAAACTAAATTTTTTTATATAAATACTTTAGGTATTTCCATTATAATTGTAATAAAAAGTTTGAAACCCTGATACTCTACCTGCCTACAATGAGGGATTCAAAACAGAAATGTTTGCTCGAAAAGTTAATTAGTTTAACTTTTAAAAATATTCTGGAAATAATTTGAGTTTTAAACATATGTTAAATTAAAGTAAATCTTAACATTTCATTTATATAGGGGATTCAAAACTTATATCAATCATATAAAAAGTAAAACGTTTTCAATTAAACTTTTGAAAATTATCAAGCTACCAAATACTTATGATAAATTGAGGTAATGAAGTACAGAGTGATTATTTTAATAGTCACTCAATAGCTACTTTTAACCATTAATTGAAAATGATGGTGTCAATAGGAAAAAATTAATGAAGGTGATTAAATCAAGAAAAATAAAGTTAAATGAACACATAATGTGTTATTATAGTCTGATTACTTTAATTATATTCCTAAGTTTTTGAATTACTGATTTTTTATAAATTCTTACCATTGTTATCATATATGATTGATATATACATAATTGATTAAAGGGGGTTTTAAAGAGAAAAAGGGTCCCAAAAAGTTATGTTAAGAAAATCCTTTTTTGTAATTTTTATTATCATATATTTCTCGATTTATCAATTATTTAGTAATTTTTAATTCATCTTTATACATTATTAATCGCAAAATTTGTAATTAGGTTACAGTTAAGGAGTTTATGTTTCTTTTAAAATAATTCAACAATTCCTTCTAACATTATATAATATCTACAGATTTGAATCGAAGCGTTTTATATGATAGTGATTTTAATCGCCAACAAATATCATTTTTACTTGTCTCAACTATGACACATCCCCATTGTGCAAGATTTTTTAATTAAATTATTTTATTTAAAAATGTATATGGCAACTTAAAACATTTCAAATTGTTCAGATAGCTAATTAGAACTAATGATTTAGCTACAGGTATCTAGATATGTATAATATGCTTTATATGTTTACAAAGATAAAAGTAACTTTTTTTTAAATTGTTACACACTTTTTTTTATATTTTATTATACAGACAATTTTTAACAAAACATTTAGTTGCAATTTCCAAACATTTCGTTACTTCAACAATTTTATAGTTATGACAACTAATCGACTTTTAACATAATAATGTAGTTAAAATACGAAAAAAAAAATTTCAGTATAAATAGACAACAAATAACCAATAGATTAAAAAGTACAGCTTTAGATGAATTGAGAGATCTTCAATAATTATCCATAAATATCTCAGACAAAATTATGTAAATAAATCAATAATTAATAAAAGAAGAATAAAAAGTGTAATTATTACACTTTTTATATTACTCTCAATTTTTAAATACATTTGCTGGAAGTTTTTAACGCATATAATGTAAGAGAAAGTAACTTTTAAAATTATTTTTATAGTGATAAAAATGTTATATTTGTGTACTAACTTTCGATACAATATGTCAAAATTTAATAGTCGTGTGTAAAAGTAACGTATATATTATAAGTATAATATTGATAAGTGGGAATTTCGGATCATTTTTGACAGTGAATAGTTATAATAAGATATTGATTTAAAAAAGTATGCACAATTTTAGAACTTCCATAATACCACAATTACCAAAAATCCTAAAGACTACACTCTTTCAAAACTCCTTTCAATTAGCGCCTATGCATCTTTATGAAATATCCTTATTTCATTATGATGTTTGACAATATTTCTTAATTATAGAAAAATATAATATTTTAGTAGTATTAACACAAGAACCTGTAATTGATGAAAAAACTATAGAAGAAAAACCCGAAGAACTTATTGTTACTGATCCCCCTATTACTAAAATGGATCCTCCTCTTTCTCCTGAAAGATCACCATCACCTGCTGAAGAAGTTATTGAAGAAGAACCGCTCAAGTATATACCAGGCGTTTCAAAACCTTATTTCCACACAAATATTAAAGGAACAAACCATGGAGGTTAGTTATATTTTCAAAATATATAGGGTTACATCACTAGTTAGATTTCTCAATAAAATTTTTATATCTTTATAAAAATACTTTTTTTTTAACAATAATAATAATAATAATAATAATAATAATAATACTATAATAATAACTTTTCACGATTAGATAAATTACATAAATTTTTAAATTTAATTATTTGTATATATGTATATTTATTTATTTATAATTTATACAGTTTAGATTAAAATATATATAGTAAATATACAGTATCTGTATCCATTAGGTTATATAATTATAAATGTTAACATTTTATATTTAATAAAAGGTATATTTGAAGAGAATAAAGAATGGTGGGATGTCAAGGGTGAATATAAATCTGAACGTTCAGTCAATAATGAATCTTCTCTTGAAGGTGATAAAAGTCATGTGATAGTTTACAAAATAGAATGCGCTTAGGATTATAAATTAATGGGCTTATAACATTGCTTTTTTCCTACTTAATGCTTTAAATAAAATATTTGATTATTTTTGAAAAAAAAAATGTTTATAATTCTATATGTTAACAATTTCAGCTGGAGAAAATGCTGTTTTTGAATGCCAAATAGAAGGAGCTATAACCGTAACATGGCTAAAGAATAATATGCCTTTGCCAAATAGTATATCTCATAGAGTTTCTATTACAGGAGATAAAGAAAATAATGTATATAAATTGCAAATAAATAAAGTAATAGAATCAGATTCAGGAACCTATACGATTAAAGCTGAAAATGATGTCGGGACATCAACTAGTACTGCTCAATTGTTTGTCGAAAATAGTAATTCATTAAAATCCTTAAAAATTGTAGTAAATATTAAATGTTAGTCTAATGTGTTTTTAAATAGTTACTGCCAATGAAAAGAAAGCTAGAGCTAAAGCAAATGCACCACTATTTACTGTGAAACTTTCCGACGCCGAACTTTTAGAAAATACTCATGCAAGATTTATGATAGAGATTAAAGGGAGTCCAGCTCCAAAGTTGAAATTGTATGTTTTAAAAAAAGTGTTCAAATATTATTTTTAATCAATGGCAAATTTAAAAAATATTTTTTACCACCTTCATAGATTAACATAGAAGAATTATTCTTGCACTACTTAATTTTCACCAAAATTATTTATTTATTAAATTTTAAGTACTCTTATACATTTTAATTCACATCAACCTGCCTTGTATGTAAAGATATAAACAAATCAAAATGTACATTATTAAATTGTTACTTTGTTTAAATAGAACGTGTGTTATAAATTATATTTAGTTACAAAGGTGATGTAGAACTCTCTCAAAGCAATGAAAGAATACAAATATTGGAAGTCAATAAAGAAATGGGTATGTATGAAATAGTAATACCCAATGTCAAACCAGAAGATGCAGGAGAATATAAAGTTGTAGCCAGTAACAAATACTCAGAAGACTCTTGTTCATGTGTGGTATCTGTAACTAGTAAGTTAATATTTATATTTACAAATATTTTTACTGCAACAAATGTAACCTAACCGTTTTAAACATTAAATAAATAAATTTATCATTACTTAATTTGTTGATTATTTTGTATTAAATAATAGACATAAATTGAGAACTTAGCTCTCGGAAATAATATTGTAAACCCCTTTCTTTATTTTTGTTAATACGTTTTTATAAAGTTGGTAATGCTCATTTAAGTTTGCATACATTCCATGTTAAGTAAGAAAAATTTGTTTCAAAAATCTATTTGTAAAATTTCCATCAAGATGTTGTAGTTATGGCTACGATGAATTGTTTGCAATATTTAAATAATATTAAATTGTAGATCCAATTTAAATATTAAACATTTAAAAAAATTGGAGCTAATACTTTGACCATTAATTTCATCGCAGAATGTTATTGTCAACTGTAGGAATAAAAAATTGTATATTCTTTATTCCTATTTGTATTCAAAATAAATTATTTTTATTATTTTTCATTTAAATAATGATGTCAAATAATATAATATTATTAGATGAAAAAGATTTATGGACACGGATCGAAAATCATACTCCAGATATAGCCCCAAAATTTACTTGGTTAAAGAATGGAAAGGCTTTCAATCCAGAAGAAAGATTCAAAGTGTTATTTAAGGATGATGAAGATTCTTTAGCTTTGGTATTTCAAAATGTAAAACCGGAAGACGCAGGGTTATATACATGTATTGCTTCAACATCACACGGAAAGATTTCATGTAGTGCTGAATTAAATGTGCAAGGTGAAAATCTCATATTTATGAATACCTTGTAGTTAATGGATTATTTTGATATTTAAGATAAATTATCAATTAAAAAAAAAAAAATGTTGTAAAATATATTAAAATCAAATCAATCAAATTAATTTTGCTTATTTTAATTTTTAATTTTTTACTATTTTTGAACTTTATAAATTTTTACATAAAAAGGATAGAATTATTTTTTAAACGACATACGTAATACCAAAACTATCTTTAAACAATTTTCTTTGAATATTTTACTTTAGGTAATGTATAATTGATAGAATAAAGTTTTATTATATTTTTTCTAAACGTCAAAAATACAATTAACGTAATAAATAATACCTGCAATTTAAATATCAAAATATTGAGTTTCAAATCTTTAAAATATCTTTTTAACTTATTTTAGTGGATATTTCTCAAAAAAATCTTATTTTTGTCTAAAAAATTAATTCAAAATTTATTATTATTTTTTTAGGCGTTGTCAAAGAAAGAAATTTACCTTGTGCTCCAAAAATTATTACAGAAGTAAAAGAATTTGAGACTAAAATACACAGCACTGCAATTTTAGAAGCTAAAGTTTATGGCGATCCAGAACCGGATGTAGTTTGGCTAAAAAATGGCGAAAAAATACAAAAAAGCACAAGAATAAAAACAATGTTTGAAGAAAATACTTCATCAATAGTGATAAAAAATGTCGAAGTTGATGACGAAGGAGAATATCAAATCATTGCCCAAAATGAAGTTGGAACAGAATCTGAAATAGTGAATCTATCAATTAAAGCTGCTCCGAAATTCAAAAAAAATTTATTGGATTACGATGGCGTTACTGGAAAAGATATTTCGTTGACTGTAGAAATAGAAGCGTCACCTAAACCAATTGTTCAATGGTATGTTATATTTATAATAATGATTATAACTCAATAAAATTATTATATATAAAATATTTTTCATTTTCAAGGTATAAAGATAGTAAAACTATTAAAAAATCAAATAAAATAAAATATGTAACTGATGAAGTATCTGGTACTTATACTCTAATTATTTTGAATACCAAAATGGAGGATGCTGGTTTATATTCTGTGGTTGCTTCAAATCAGTTCAGCCAAATATCAGATGCTTGTCAGGTGAACCTAAAAATGCCTCCTCAATTCATTGGTGCTTTAGCTAAGGAAGTAGAAACTTTTGAAGGAGACTATGTGTCACTTAGTGTCAGAGTAGAAGGAGACCCAGCTCCCCAAGTAAAATGGTAATATTTATAAATATTATTTTCAAAATACTTTAAGATATGCTATATTTTTGTCATAGATTCTAAATATTTATTTTAGCTTCGATGCGAAGCTGAGAAGGTATTAATTTTACCATGATGTGTTTATTTATTTTTTTGTGTCTGTCACTACATTTTCTCAGCTCTCACTGGACCGATTTCTTTTAACAATACGTCAAAAGATCACAAATTGTATCTAGTTGAAGACATTACCCTTAAAAATTTAAAAATTTTCCCTCGTTCCCCGCAAATGGGGGAAATATCCAAAAAAATTACAAATTTAAAAATCGACAAATTTTGTCATTTTTTTCACTTTTTTTTCTTAAAACTTCCATAACTTTTTCAAAAATCAACAAATCAACATAATTTTTTTTTAAACTAAAACCTTAGATATTTTCCTTTCATTTGATATAATTTTTTTGAAAATTTAACACTTAACCTGCTCATGGGGGGGGATTTAAAATTGCAACTTTTTTACAAAAACTAACTTTTTCAACTTAATTTTTGAAAATGTTCCGGAAATACTGCGTCCTTTAAACATATATCAAATTAAAGCTTATTTTATGTACTATAAAATGAAAAAAAAAAATTTGTCCCGACACTTTATCTTCTGCATGTAAACGGTTGCCGTAGTTAAAAAAACACTATTTTGGTGTTAAAATTTTCGATTTTCGATTTTTAATTTTCAATTTAAAAATGCTATAACTTTATATTTATATACTTTAATTTAACTCTTATGATAATGAATATTAATTTAAAATTGTAGGTATTTCAATGATGAATTAATTATTCCTGAAAATACACATTTCAAAACAAATACCGAAGGGGATGTGCACACGTTATTAATATGTAATATAACTAGGCAAGATTCTGGTAAATATACGTGTGAAATAAGTAATGAATCAGGATCCAACACTAGTGAAGGGAAATTGTTTGTAAAATGTCCACCGATTTTTAAAATTCCCTTGAAAGATACTAAGACAATTGAAGGTGATACAGATGTAGAATTTACAGTGCAGCTTAACGCATATCCAAAACCGACTGTGAAATGGTAAGTACTCCTAAATTTATGTATGTAATTATATTCTTAAGAAACATTTCTATTAGGTTTCGCGAAGAAGAAGAAATAACAGAAACTACAACAGAGTTCACTTGTGTTGAAGATGGAAATAATTATAAATTGATCATTAAAGAGGCTAAAACAAAGTTGTCTGGGAAATATAAATGTAGGGCTACTAATGAAATTGGCTCGTATGATTCTGAAGCAACTCTTACTGTAATGTGTAAGATAAAATTTATATATTAATAATTGATAATTTGTTTTAGAAATATATATATCATGATAAAATTTTGTGAGATATACAAATACAATAACCAAATAAAATGTATAATTTTTAGCTCAACCTACATTTAAAAATGGCTTAAAAGATTTGGATATAGCAGAAGGTGGTTTACTTAAACTACAAGTAACCTGTTATGGTAGTCCGCCTCCGGAAATAAAATGGTATAAGGATGGTAAAGAAGTCCGTAGTGGTGCACATATTAAGATATCGAGGGATACAAAGAGGGTTGAAAACTTTAGTTTAACTGTTAATTTGGTGAAATTTGAAGACGGCGGAGAATACGAAGTTAGAGCAACCAATGAAATGGGAACAGCTGTCACTAAGAGCATAGTTAATGTTTTAGGTAAATTTTCAATTAACATAATTTTAAACTATTTTAAGTAAAAATAAGAAAATATGACGAAAAAAATAATTCAAAAAAATTCCTTTTTTATTAGTTATTATAATATTTACTTAAAAATAAAAATAAGTTTCTAAAAAATTTACTTAAAAATAATTTGACTGAAATTCATACATTTTTAAATTAAAAAAATTCTCCTTAGGATATATTTTGAAAATACATCGCTATTTTTGTGTAAAAAATTTCTAAAAATGTTAAATTATATAATAATAAATCATTATTCTTTGTAAGTTCAATATACTTTCTAAATAATAAAATTCCTATACGAATAAAATTCCTATTTCCTATGCATATTTAATTTTTTCTCATAATTTCATTGCAATACATAAAATTATTTTTGGTTTTTCTATTCCTTAAAAAAAAAACCTACTTTTAAAATTTATGTTTAATCAAAATTTATCACCTAAATCCTTAGGAACTACCAATTTTCGTTTGGTTCTATTATTTTATTTTGTATTTTCAAAAATTATTGAGATGTTTACTTATTTAATAATTATTTTTTCAAATAAATATTAACATAATTTATTAATATTCAAAATAATTATTTATTCTTTATCAAACTAAATTGGTTTATTCGTGGAAATAAAATTTAGTCTTAAGTACCTGGTATTTTTTTTGCACGATACCAATGATTTATATGATTGTTTCCTCCATCTAAATTTTAAGTTAACCTTATCATATCACCTTGAATATAACTCGCATGCATTTCTCAAATCACAGCCAAACATTTAACCGATTATCAAGATGATGAAAACAAAGCAAAGCAAGATAAAAAAGAAGTGGGTGAAACTGTTAGCAATCAGCATAAAGGTATGTATTAATATAATACAATTTTGTAATTAGGAACGGTAATGTACAAATTAGTGTAGAAATCAACAATAATTTGTATAATGTAGTAAAAAATAATTCTATATGTATGATAACTAAAAGCTTCAATTAAAAATTAATATTTTCAAAATGACATACATAAATGTTAAATTGAAAGTAATTATATTTGTTAGTGTTATCATCATGTGATATGAACACAAGCAGTATTTCTGAAAGCTGTTCAGAATTTCTAAAAAAAGAAGACATGAAAACTATTAGAACATCACAAATAACAGGTAGATATTTGTATTTTCAGAATTATCGTTATTGGCAACAAAAACATTATAGATTTAACATCGATACTCCTATTGTCACGTTTACAGATGGTGATAACTTCTTAAAAACTGAAAAAAGTGTATTAATTATGAATAATCAAGCTACAGAATTTAGTTGTGTAGAAATAAGTTGGGAAGATTCTTCATCCAAAAGTAAAAGTTATTATGGTATTGTCGAAGAACCAAAAGATGAAAGAATAATACCAATAAAAATAGATAGAGGTATATCTATACACACTGCAACAGATGAAGAAGAAGAGCCATATTGGATAATTGATAATAAAAAAATGAAAAACGAAGAACATGTTCAAACTATAAAAGGAGAGGTAAAAAAAAAAACATGGATGACATCCACTCCAAACAGTGATGATGAAGATAATAGTTCTTTAAATGATTTATTCTTGCGCGTTAAAAAACAACGAAACGATTTAGAAGATATATTACAAAATAAAAAAATTGATATAGATGAATCCTCACTGAATGAAAATGAAAATAATAACACGTTGACATTAATAGAAAAATTATCAAAAAAATACTCAAAACAGGAAAATGATGATTTAGAAAAATATACAGTATCATCAGTGTATTCTACCGATTATAATGTCAAAATAAGTAGAAGACCAATATCAAGATTATCATCATATGATGATCAACTAACAATTTTACAAAGACAATCACTCTCAAGGTATTCCTCAACTGAAGATGAAGATAATAGAAATAAAAAAACATACTTAAATGCATCCACTGCCGAAAAAAATTTAGACTTAAACCATTCTTCTTTAACGGAAAATATAGAAGACTTAGTACGATATCCAAAACAAGGATCAATTTCAAAATTTTCATTAATAAATGAGACATTACAAAACAAGAGGGAATCATATTCAAGATTAACATCTGATGACGAAAACAATACATTTTATAAACAAGAATCATTATCAAATATTAAACCTGATTCAATATCTCGCTTCGATTCTACAGATGATAAAAGTGGGCTTTCACAGAAAAAATCATTGTCCAGATTAACCTCTGTAGATGAAACTGATAAACCAAAACGTGGTTCATTAACTCGATTCGATTCTACAGAAGATAAAAGTGAAAAAACACAAACCGAACCATTGTCCAGATTAACCTCTGTAGTAGAAACTGATAAACCAAAACGTGGTTCAATATCTCGATTCGATTCTACAGAAGATAAAAGTGAGAAAACACCAACCGAACCATTGTCCAGATTAACCTCTGTAGATGAAACTGATAAACCAAAACGTGGTTCAATATCACGGATTGATTCTACAGATGATAAAAGTGAAAAAACACAAAAAGAACCATTGTCCAGATTAACCTCTGTAGTAGAAACTGATAAACCAAAACGTGGTTCAATATCACGGATTGATTCTACAGATGATAAAAGTGAGACAACACAAAAAGAACCATTGTCCAGATTAACCTCTGTAGTAGAAACTGATAAACCAAAACGTGGTTCAATATCACGGATTGATTCTACAGATGATAAAAGTGAGACAACACAAAAAGAACCATTGTCCAGATTAACCTCTGTAGTAGAAACTGATAAACCAAAACGTGGTTCAATATCACGGATTGATTCTACAGATGATAAAAGTGAGACAACACAAAAAGAACCATTGTCCAGATTAACCTCTGTAGTAGAAACTGATAAACCAAAACGTGGTTCAATATCACGGATTGATTCTACAGATGATAAAAGTGAGACAACACAAAAAGAACCATTGTCCAGATTAACCTCTGTAGTAGAAACTGATAAACCAAAACGTGGTTCAATATCACGGATTGATTCTACAGATGATAAAAGTGAGACAACACAAAAAGAACCATTGTCCAGATTAACCTCTGTAGTAGAAACTGATAAACCAAAACGTGGTTCAATATCACGGATTGATTCTACAGATGATAAAAGTGAGACAACACAAAAAGAACCATTGTCCAGATTAACCTCTGTAGTAGAAACTGATAAACCAAAACGTGGTTCAATATCTCGAATTGATTCTACCGATGATAAAAGTGGGCTTTCACAGAAAAAATCATTGTCCAGATTAACCTCTGTAGATGAAACTGATAAACCAAAACGTGGTTCAATATCACGGATTGATTCTACAGATGATAAAAGTGAGACAACACAAAAAGAACCATTGTCCAGATTAACCTCTGTAGTAGAAACTGATAAACCAAAACGTGGTTCAATATCTCGAATTGATTCTACCGATGATAAAAGTGGGCTTTCACAGAAAAAATCATTGTCCAGATTAACCTCTGTAGATGAAACTGATAAACCAAAACGTGGTTCAATATCACGGATTGATTCTACAGATGATAAAAGTGAGAAAACACAAACCGAACCATTGNAAAATGAAAAAACACAAACCGAACCATTATCCAGATTAACTTCTGTAGATGAAAAAGAAAAAACACAACGTGGTTCAATATCTCGAATTGATTCTACAGATGATAAAAGTGAGCTTTCACAGAAAAAACCATTGTCCAGATTAACCTCTGTAGATGATACTGATAAACTAAAACGTGGTTCAATATCTCGATTCGATTCTACAGATGATAAAAATGAAAAAACACAAACCGAACCATTATCCAGATTAACTTCTGTAGATGAAAAAGAAAAAACACAACGTGGTTCAATATCTCGAATTGATTCTACAGATGATAAAAGTGAGCTTTCACAGAAAAAACCATTGTCCAGATTAACCTCTGTAGATGATACTGATAAACTAAAACGTGGTTCAATATCTCGATTCGATTCTACAGATGATAAAAATGAAAAAACACAAACCGAACCATTATCCAGATTAACTTCTGTAGATGAAAAAGAAAAAACACAAGGTGGTTCAATATCTCGAATTGATTCTACAGATGATAAAAGTGAGCTTTCACAGAAAAAACCATTATCCAGATACACCTCTGTAGATGATACTGATAAACCAAAAGGTGGTTCAATATCTCGAATTGATTCTACAGATGATAAAAGTGAGCTTTCACAGAAAAAACCATTATCCAGATACACCTCTGTAGATGACACTGATAAATCTAAACGTGGTTCAATATCTAGATTCGATTCTACAGGTGATAAAAGTGAAAAAACACAAAAAGAACCATTGTCCAGATTAACCTCTGTAGTAGAAACTGATAAACCAAAACGTGGTTCAATATCTCGATTTGATTCTACCGATGATAAAAGTGGGCTTTCACAGAAAAAATCATTGTCCAGATTAACCTCTGTAGATGAAACTGATAAACCAAAACGTGGTTCAATATCACGGATTGATTCTACAGATGATAAAAGTGAGCTTTCACAGAAAAAACCATTGTCCAGATTAACCTCTGTAGATGATACTGATAAACTAAAACGTGGTTCAATATCTCGATTCGATTCTACAGATGATAAAAATGAAAAAACACAAACCGAACCATTATCCAGATTAACTTCTGTAGATGAAAAAGAAAAAACACAACGTGGTTCAATATCTCGAATTGATTCTACAGATGATAAAAGTGAGCTTTCACAGAAAAAATCATTGTCCAGATTAACCTCTGTAGATGAAACTGATAAACCAAAACGTGATTCAATATCTCGAATTGATTCTACAGATGATAAAAGTGAGCTTTCACAGAAAAAACCATTGTCCAGATTAACCTCTGTAGATGATACTGATAAACTAAAACGTGGTTCAATATCTCGATTCGATTCTACAGATGATAAAAATGAAAAAACACAAACCGAACCATTATCCAGATTAACTTCTGTAGATGAAAAAGAAAAAACACAACGTGGTTCAATATCTCGAATTGATTCTACAGATGATAAAAGTGAGCTTTCACAGAAAAAACCATTGTCCAGATTAACCTCTGTAGATGATACTGATAAACTAAAACGTGGTTCAATATCTCGATTCGATTCTACAGATGATAAAAATGAAAAAACACAAACCGAACCATTATCCAGATTAACTTCTGTAGATGAAAAAGAAAAAACACAACGTGGTTCAATATCTCGAATTGATTCTACAGATGATAAAAGTGAGCTTTCACAGAAAAAACCATTGTCCAGATTAACCTCTGTAGATGATACTGATAAACCAAAAGGTGGTTCAATATCTCGAATTGATTCTACAGATGATAAAAGTGAGCTTTCACAGAAAAAACCATTATCCAGATACACCTCTGTAGATGACACTGATAAATCTAAACGTGGTTCAATATCTAGATTCGATTCTACAGGTGATAAAAGTGAAAAAACACAAAAAGAACCATTGTCCAGATTAACCTCTGTAGTAGAAACTGATAAACCAAAACGTGGTTCAATATCTCGATCCGATTCTACAGATGATAAAAGTGAGCTTTCACAGAAAAAACCATTGTCCAGATTAACCTCTGTAGATGATACTGATAAACCAAAACGTGGTTCAATATCTCGAATTGATTCTACAGATGATAAAAGTGAGCTTTCACAGAAAAAACCATTGTCCAGATTAACCTCTGTAGATGATACTGATAAACTAAAACGTGGTTCAATATCTCGATTCGATTCTACAGATGATAAAAATGAAAAAACACAAACCGAACCATTATCCAGATTAACTTCTGTAGATGAAAAAGAAAAAACACAACGTGGTTCAATATCTCGAATTGATTCTACAGATGATAAAAGTGAGCTTTCACAGAAAAAACCATTGTCCAGATTCACCTCTGTAGATGACACTGATAAATCTAAACGTGGTTCAATATCTAGATTCGATTCTACAGATGATAAAAGTGAGAAAACACAAACCGAACCATTATCCAGATTAACTTCTGTAGATGAAAAAGAAAAAACACAACGTGGTTCAATATCTCGAATTGATTCTACAGATGATAAAAGTGAGCTTTCACAGAAAAAACCATTGTCCAGATTAACCTCTGTAGATGATACTGATAAACCAAAACGTGGTTCAATATCTCGATTCGATTCTACAGATGATAAAAGTGAGAATACAAAACTTGATTCAAAAAAACTTAAAAGGTTTTTAAGAGATAATACTCTGAGTAATTTATCGTCTTTTGACGATAGTGAAATAGCTGATAAAAAATATATTTCTCAACAAAACACTGAATTATGTAATGAGTTTCCGGAATATTCTAGGGGAGAGTACAGAAATCGAGGTATATAATCTATCTGATAATGTACTGTTGAAGTAATGTTTTTATGTACATTGTTTGTTTTGAAGCATTAATTGTGATGGTCTTCTGTGTTTTTTTTTCTTTACTAATTCAAATTTTTTTTATTGCCTACCTGTTTTTAATTATTTTGGACATTTTTTTTTTGTTTTTGGTTTTTTCAATGTTTAAAGGTTTTTTAATTTAAAATTTATTTTTTCAAATATTTTTTAGTTGCTCCTAAATTTATTTCCGGTATGGATGACACTGAAACATTTGAATCTTTATCTCATGCGTTTGAAGTTAAGTTTCGTGGAGCACCAAAACCAGAAGTAAAATGGTAAAATAATGAATAATTTATATATTTTAAGTTAAAACTCCTATTGTAAACTTTTTAAAATTAATTTAGACAAGCATAGTTTTTTTTATAACTTAAAAATTAAAATTTTTTTGTTCTTGCTCTACATTTTAATCGTTATAAATCATTGATATAGCTAATGACTTTTGCTCATATAAAATAAAAGGGTTCATTGCAATAATCCTCTTATATATATGATATTAAAATGACGGATAAATTATTTTTACATAAAATATACGGGAGAATATTAAAAATTCGTAATAAATACTAGTTTTATTTTTAGTACTGTTTTATTTTGATGTTATTATATATTAAAACCTTACATAACATATAAAGTTAAACAATTAATGAGTTTGCGTATTTAAATTTAAGAGTATAATATATTATAACTTTAATAATTAAAAAATGAGACAATAATGGAATTGTATACTAAGAGATCAATTTTTGTTAAAATCTTCTTATTTTGTAATAATATAATTTTTTTTTAAATAACTTACTCAAAATAATTACATTTAACTAAATGAACAATTTTAAATTTCTTACAATTTTATAATAAATTCAGGAACTTTGAAAAAAAAATTTTTATGATTTTATTGTGTAATTATAAAATAGTAATGAACCCAAAAAATACATATTTTAGATTATTGTATTTTATAGTATATAGTATATTTGCTATAAATATACTTTCCTAAAATGATGTAATGATGGTTAATGAAAGTTTTATAAAAAATTCCTTTTAATACAGAAAGTTTCAAAAATTTGTATCAAATACTCGTTTTTTGTATTCATGGAAAGTTAAGTTATCGTATATAAAATATAAATCAAGTATCAATGCATACTTAGTAAATCGATTTTAAATCTTTTTTTGTAATTATATAGAGTATTCAGTAAATATTAAAACGAATTAATAATGGATTTTTACAATTATAATCAAATTTTATAATACGCTCAATTGAGTAAATCTTTTTGACAACTCTGTTTTGATTGATTCATTTAGTTAAAGTAAATCATTAAAATTAATTAAGTTCTGAATATTTCAATTGTAGAATCTTTTTAAACTCCAAAAGTTATTAGGAAATGATTACTATTACGATAAAAATGCAAAAAAAAATATTGAGCTATTCTGATAAATTTACTATAAATAGTATTTATAAAACTTCCTAACTGCATATTAATCTTAACAATACAATTTTTTTAATTCTCATAAAATTTTTTATTTAATGATGTCAATTTCAAACTTGTCAATTGAGCTAAAAGTTATAATAAAATAAATTAATTTTTTTTATTATAAACATTCACAAAAATCAACTTTAAACGATTAAAAAAATAGGTTAAATATGTCATTTTCCTTATTTTTAACATATTAATAATCAAAATCAGTATTAATTTAAAACAATTTTTTTTTTATATGTAAATACTTTTTTTAGCTTCGATGCGAAGCTGAGAAGGTATTGGTTTTACTATGATGTGTTTTTTTTTTTTTTTGTGTCTGTTACCACTTTTTCTCAGCTCTCATCGAACGGATTTCTTTCAACGATACGTCAAAAGATCACAAATCGTATCTAGTCAAAGACATTAACCTTAAAAATTGAAAAAAATTCCCTCGTTTCCCATAAATGGGGGAAACCTGCAAAAAAATTACAAATTTAAAAATCGCTAATTTTTTCAATTTTTTTTACTAAAATGTGCTCTAACTTTTTCAAAAATGAACATATCAATATAATTTTTTTTTATATAGATGTTTGTTGTTTTTACTTATCATTTTTTTTTTTTATTATTAGCTTTCAATACAGAAGTATTATTATAGCTAAACGATTAAGATAAAACTATACAATAGAAACTAAGACTATACAATAGAACTAAGACTATACAAAAGAAAAAAAAAGGGGGAATGGTTTAGAGACATGTTAAAGGCATGATTAGGTAACCGATTATGACCAAATCTATGACGGAAAGAAGATATAATATGGAAACGGGACAGAGGGAGGTTGTAAAACCAAGGACGTTTAGGGATAGTTGGAACTATAGATTTATGCCAGTTAGCTAAAGAAAAATTTGACCATTTATCTTGCCATGCTTTATTAATAGTTGGAAGAAAAGAGGAAAGGAGATCGGAAGAGGGAATTTTTAGGATAGGTGCTCTGTTGAAGGAGTTAGTCAGTTTAGCTAGATGGTCTGCTATCTCATTGCCAGATATTCCGACATGACTGGGGCACCATAAAAATTCAACATTGATGTCCATTTAATAAAGACTATAAATTAAGGCTTTAATTTTCATTATGAGGAAGGATCTACTTTTTTTAAAAGGAACTGAGGAAAGAGATGATAAAACTGACAGTGAATCCGAGACAATCAGAACATTTATTATATTGAGCGATTTCACGAATTCGAGAGCCGAGGATATCGCATAAGATTCGGTGGTAAATGAACAAGCTTTTGAAGGGAGATTATCTGAGAAATTCATGTTTAGAGTAGGAATAAAAAAGGAAAAGCCGGCGGAATTAGTATAAACTGAGCCGTCAGTGAATATGAGGCAATAGTTAGCAAAATGAGAGGAAATGAGTTCATCAAAAAGATAATTGACGACATTAGTTGGGAGAGATTGTAATTGAAGCTTGCTATAAGAAAGAAATAGATGATTTAAGTGAATTTTTGGAAAATGAGTAAGTGCATGAAATGGAATATCGTATATTAGTAGGCGATTGATTGAGGTAATTATGGAATTAAGGTAAGGAATCAAGGTAGTAGAAATTGAGGCTAGTAGAGGAAGAGTTTTGGGTACATATTGCCAAAGTGAGCTTAGTGAATGAAAACAATGAAATATTAACTTGGCAGGACTGGATATCTGTTTTAAAAGGAATTTATGGGCTAAGTAACGAGATCGAATTTCAATTGGAGGGCATACACATTCAACTTCTAAACTCATATTAGGGGTAGAGTAAACTGCACCTATAATTGTGCGTAAACAAGCAGCGAGTAGAGAATTGATATTTTTACGATGAACAGTGGAAGCTGAGGCGTATAAAAAGGAACCATAGTCAACTTTAGAACGGATAAGAGCCTTAAAAATAAGTAAGAGTGAGGAGGGGTGGGAGCCCCACCAGGTGCCTGCAATAGAACGTAGAAGATTAGACCAGCGTGATATGGAAGAGATGAGGTACTTAAAGTGAGGCATCCAGCGGAGTTTCTGATCCAATTTGAGTCCGAGGTAAGTAACACAATCAGAGAAGGATAAGCTAACTCCATCAAGCAAAATTGAAGGGTGTTGTAGGATGTGTTTTCTAGTAAATATTATAGCTTTGCTTTTTTCTGGAGCAGATTCAAAATAGGAAAGCTGGAGTACAGAGGAGAGGATCTGGAGTGCATTATTTATATTCGATACAGTAACCTGGAGTGAACTATGGGAAGAGAAAATAACTATATCATCGGCGTAAAGTAAACTAGAGAAATTATTAGATGTGAGTGATTTGCTTATATCAGCAGTATATATGTTAAATAAAATAGGACTGAACCCAACCGTTGGTAATAGGGACCAAACGGCAATTTAAAGTGAAGGAGGTGGCATTTAAATAAAGAAAAGATAAATTTGCACACCGATATATGAATGTTGATGGAGAGTAGACGTGTAACAAGAAGAGGGATGTTAACAGAGTCAAATGCACCGCGAACGTCAACAAAGACGGCTGTTGTAAATTGGCGGTTACAAAACGAATGGTACACGGGACCAACAAGAGAGGATAGGCATTCCATTGTGCCCAGTCCACGTCGAAAACCAAACATGTTAGAAGATAGTAGGGTGTTGGATTCAAGATACCAATCCAGACGGGTTTTTAGCATAAATTTGTAGAAGGCGGATGAAAGGGCAATTGGACGGTATGCGTTAGTAGCAGCACCACTTTTAGGGATAGGAATTACTTTGAAGTACTTCCAAGACTCAGGAATGATATTGTTAATCCATAAATTGTTTAAGATAGTTAAAAGAATATCAAAGGCTTTTATTGGAAGATGTTTAAAAAAAAAAGGAGAAATATTATCCAAGCCAGCAGCAGCAGATTTCCTTGAAGAGATAGCAAAGGACAGTTCGTGACGACTGAAAGGAGAGGAAAGGAAGCTATTATTACTATTATTTACTAAATTGTCTGAAAAATGTAATTCAAGTTCGTCAGGAGCAGGAACGTAAGGAGGTGCAATTCTATTACAAAAGTCGTCAAACCAGTCATTGTTGGTGGTGTAAGAAGGACGATTTATCCAGTTTTTGAATTTTTTAGCTATGGTCCAAAATTCAGAGATGGACGTTGAAGGGTGTAGATTGCTGCATAAATTTAACCAAGAGTTTTTTTTTTCCTTTTTTAGAATTTTGATTTTTGATATATTATAAAGTCATGAAGAGAACCTGAGGATCTGTATTTTCTGAAATGAATGGAGCGCATTTTAACTGCAGTGGTGCAGGTTGAGTTCCACCAAGGAGGAGAATGGCTAAAACCTATATTGTTCGAACGCTTACGCGAGATTGAAAGTTTTGCTGCTTTTGTTAGGATATCAACAAAATTGTTATAATTTGTTGTAGGGGAAGTGGATTCAGACCAAGATTCGAGTAAGGTAGAGAAAATTAGAGAGAAAGAGATCCAATCTGCTAAGTCTAAATTAAACCTTAAGTTATCTGAAACATTGGAGTCACAGTTAAAACGACCCATACTCTGAGTGAGCTGTATAAAAATACTTGTTACAATAGGATAGTGGTCGCTACCGTGAGGATCACCCAAAACATACCAAGAAGAGGACAAGGAAATATTAGGGGAGCATATTGTTAGGTCAACAACAGTATCCGGGAACGGTGGCCGGTTAGCTCTAGTTGGAGCGCCTGTGTTCAGAATACATAAATTATGCTGACTGATAGTTGAGTGAATAATATTGTCTCTATAATTGGAGTTTAGTGAACCCGAGGCAGAATGATGACCATTAAAATCTCCTGCAATAATGGAGTTATTGGAGAGTAGTTTAAAAATTTCAGAAACTATGAGTAAGAAAAAAAATAAATAAATAAAATAAAACAATAATGATGATAAAATGTGATGAGATGAGGAAGTTACTGCAAACTGTTATTAGATGATAAAGAGAGAAAATTAAGGATGTGAGACTCAATTAATTGATTAGGGGTTGAGGGGGATGATAATGTAGAGGAAGGAATATTGTATACAGCTGAAGAGAGTTAATTAGCCAAAGAAGTGATCCAGGATTTCTCAGCAGGTTGAGCATAGGAGTTAGTGGACATGTATTCGAGAAACGAACCATTGGGAGAAGACCAATCATTACTATTATTAGAGACAAAATGCGGGTTGATAGTTTGGACACTGTTTTTATTCCCATGATACTTATTTTTACTTTTTTTGGGGAATGATTGTGTCAAGCTCGGAAAAGATTCTATAGATATAGGGTTTTGTGGAGCACTGGCGTTATTTATAATATTTGCATTGCTTGAAACACTATTCGAAAAAGTTTTAGATTTATTAACAATGTTATTCTTAAATTTAAAAATGTTTTCAACAGCCATGATTTTCTTAATCTCCTTTTGACGGGACCATTCAGGACATGAGCGATCTGTAGCCTCATGGGATCCTTTGCAATGTAAGCATGATGGGGTAGAGTTGTCTTTATTAGGGCAATCGGTGGCCATATGATCGTTAGCACCACAACAGGCACACCGTGCCTTACTTCTGCAAAATTTGACAACAGCTGAGAGGAAATAAAGCAGTTAGAGTCGGAGGAGGCATAAAGTGGTAGAAGTAGTTTAAAAAAGTGACAGAGTTATAATCGTAAATTTAACATTCGAGGAACAAGTGTTGAATGTAGATAATACCTATGCAGCATAAGTAGGATGTGATGAAATAGACAAAGAAGGTTTTTGGAGAGAGATGGATGAGGTAATGCAAGGAATACTTGATAACGAGGATGCGGCGATAGGTGGAGATATAAATGAATATGTCAGTAATGAGAGGAGAGGATATGAAAGAGTTCATGGAGGGTATTGTTTTAGTGGAAAGAATGAGGGTGGAGAAAGAATCTTGGATTTTAAAGTATCATATGATTTTTCTATGATTAATATTTATTTTAAAAAGAGGGAAATCATTATATAACTTATAAGAGTGAAAGTAATAGATTGTGTAACTTCATAACAAAGACTGATAGTAATGGAGTTGTGGTGTAGTGAGAAGAGAGTAAACAAAGACAAAAGAACACAGGGCAAATTTTTCGATTTTATATTTTCACCTTTAAATTGCAATAACTTTTTGAAAAATGTATGGAACAAAATTTTTTTCTTCTAAACATTTTAAATTTACTCCTTTAATTCGAACATTTTTTTTTGCTATTTCCTTTTATAGAAAGGGGGTTTAAATTTAGAAATATTCGAGTAAAAAGTAGACATTTTTCAAATTTAATCTAGATATAAATGAAGAAATTTAAGTTCATTTTGCTTATAGATTAATCTACGATTTCTTAAATTAAACAGTATCTACAAATTTTCATCGGAACATTTTTTACGATAGTGATTTTAATCATTGTCAGATATCATCTATACTTTTTCCAACTATACCACGTCCACACTGTTTCTCAACCCCATTGCGCTACCAATTATAAATATTAATTAAAAGTTAACTAATATTTATTTAATTTTTATATTTATCAATATTTTATTTAAATAAGTTTTACTAAAAAATCTTTTTAAATTTTGATCAAACCCATACCCTATACAAAAAACTTTATATAAAATATATTTAACTTATTTTTTTTTTTTTACTAGGTTCAAAGATGGAAATGAATTATCAAAAACAAGAAATATTCAAATAATAGAATCGAATGATGAAGAATGCTATAAACTTATATTAACGGATTTAAGAGTAGCGGATTCTGGGTCATACTGTTGTAAACTGACGAATGAGGTGGGAGAAACGATGAAATCTGCTAATTTAGTTGTACAAGATGTAGAACTTCTTCGTGGACCAAAAATTAAAAAACCTTTAAAAGATCTTGAAGTTGAAAAAGGCCAAAAAGTGACATGGGCATTAACAGTTTTAGCAGACCCTATACCTGATGTTGAGTGGACATGCAATGGCAAAGAAGTTAATGCAAACTACTCGGTTAATTTTATAGAAATAGCTAACGGTCTTAAAGAATGTACTTTCACAATGACTATTCCCTCTTCAGAACTCAGTGATACTGGTGTTTACCTTGTAAAAGCGAAAAATAAATTTGATTTTGCTGAATGTAGTGCACGGTTAGATATTGTTATGCGGCCAGAAATTGAAGGATTTAAAGATATTACAGTTATTCCGTCGATGGAAGCTATATTTGAAGCAATTATAAAAGCTGTACCTAGACCTAAAATTATTTGGACAGTTAATGGAAAAGATTTATCTGATCGGAAAAATGTAGAACTCATTTCTGAAGAACTAGAAGAAAAAATTTCGAAATTTAAAATAATTATTGGTGATGTAGAACCAGAAGAATCTGGAGAATACACTGTTAAAGCTTGGAATAAAGTAGGCGAAACTACTGCTACAGCACATCTTAAACTTCATAGTAAATACTTCATTAAATAAATTTATACAATTCAAATACTTTAATTACTGTATTATTATTTTTAGCTGAAATCCCTTCTTTTGTTAAATTACTGGAAGATAAAACAATACAAGAATATGAAGAAGTTCAGTTAAGCGTAAGAGTTAATGGTGTTCCAAAACCAAAAGTGACTTGGTTAGTACATTGTTTAAAACAAAATATATCTTTATATTTTATACAAATTATTCTTACCTAGTTGGTTTCTTTTATTTTAGGTATAAAAATAATGAAGTTATTATTCCCAATCTCAGAATGTCTATACATACTAATGAAGAAGGACAAGTTAAAAGTGTTCTTACTATTGATCATTTCAGTGAAGTGGACGTTGGAAGTGTAAATATTTTATTATTTTTTATTTAAAAGAAATACTTATCTTATTTCAAAAATATTTCAGTTTTCTGTTAAAGCTGTAAACATGGTTGGAGAGGCAGAAACAATATCTAAATTAACAATGGCCCAAATTATGCCATCTTTCGTGAAACCATTTGAACGAATTACCGAAGCAGTTGAAGGTTGTCCACTTGAAATTCAAGCAAGTCTCATTGGAAGTCCTCGCCCTTCCGTTAAGTGGTACAAAGATGGCGAAGAACTAAAAGAAGAAAATTCAGATGATAGTGATGAACATAAACATTTAAAAATAGAATCAAATCCAGATGGAACTATTTTATTAAAAATTGATAAAGTAGAACCAGGTGATTGTGGTGCTTATAAAATAATTGCAGTTAATGACTTTGGGAAAAGTACAACTAACACTGCATTAGTCGTAAATGGTAAAAGTGATTTAAAATTTTTATATTTTTATTTAAGTAATTATTTATCTTTGTTATTTAGAAACACCAAAGTCACCAGTAATAATAAAACATTCAAAAACTATTGTAGTAACGGAGGGAGATACATTAAAAATAGAAGCACAATACGCTGCTTACCCAGCACCTTTAGTTAAGTGGTACAAAGATGGACACCTTCTTTATCCATGTCCACGTATAGACTTTATAATGCTACCAAATGGTCATATAGCGCTTTCAGTTGAAAAATCTAAACTTGAGGATATTGGAACTTACGAATTAGTAGTATCAAATGATCTTGGAAAGTCGTCTGAAACAATAGAAGTTACAGTTATACCAGCTTCAAAGGTACCAGAATTTATAATACCACTTAAAGATTCAAAAATTGTTGAGGGATTTCCAGCAAGATTTTCAGTTCAGTTATCTGGATATCCATTACCTGAACTGGCATGGTAAAAAAACTACTTAAATTAGAAATTATTTTATTTTCAATATACATATTTTAAATTATGTTCTACATAAGGTTTATAAATGGAGTTCCATTAGTCATTGATGGTGAAAAAATTAAACATACAAGCAGTCCAGATGGCATTCATCTCATAATTGAAAAAACAACTTCAGTACTTACTGGAAAAATTTCTGTTATTGCTTCAAATGTTCATGGAAAAGCGTCATCCGAAGCAAATGTCTTAATTACATGTAATATAATTACTTAGTAATTAATAATTTTAATTAAATTTTTTTTTTTATTAAAGCAAAATCAAACTCTAATGTGAAAGACACTTTACCCTTATTCTTAAATGAATTAAGAGATACAACTGTTGAAGAAAGCAGTTCATTGTCATTATCAGCTCCTTTCCTAGGAAACCCAATACCAGATGTTCAATGGATAAAAGATGGAAAAATACTACAGCCGTGTAATAGAATTCATTTTTCTTGCGATGGATATAAGGTTGGTCTTGAAATACTAGACACAAATACAGGAGATGCAGGAAAATATACCTGCATACTAGTTAACAAACTTGGTTCAGCCGTATCTGATGCTCAAGTTGGTGTACGAAAACTTTATCAAGCTCCTGTTTTTACACAACGTTTTTCACACAATCAACAGGTGTGTATACAATAAGACTATAGACCAATTACTTGTTGAGGAATTAATTTTTATGAAATGAATTGAAAAACTGAAGTTTTCGTACTTAAAAAATAAATTTTCATCTGATGATTTAACAAGAAAATTTAAATTTTACAATTTAAGTTTTACAACCTCCAAAGTCACGAATAAATGGACAACTCCTATATAAACCTTAACAAATCAAAATAAATTTCATTATATTTTAAATGATTATTTGATTAATCAAGATTCAAGTTTAATCAATATAAGAGAAAATAAAAGGGTATTTGGTTAATCTAGCTCATTGAATAATTCATAATACACCTACTTAGGTGTGCGATTCCAATACGCTGGGATTGGTTTTTCTGTTTTCTCTAACACAAGCAATGTTTTCTAAGAAAGGAGGTAAAAAGTTTATGTTTATAATTATAAACATAAATATTTGTTATATGTTTTTGAGTGAAATATCTCAAAAAAATATAATAATGATATGATTTTTATTAAAAATTGTAAATTAAATTAGGAAAAAAACAACTAATTATCTTATATTAATATCCTAAGTACTTAACTACATACATTATAGTTAATTAAAAATACTCAATCAATTAATTACATCTAAAAGATAGAAAAATATCTGGAGTATTTTTTTCATAATGATTTTGACTTAATCCATGCAAATTTAAAACAGTGCAAGGTATCCAAAAGGAATATTTTCCATGATAACTATTTAAATTATATCATCAGGAGTTTTTCCACTTAATTCTGCAATTTGTATACAAGTTAAATAGTCTTTTTATTTTACTCATCAGAGCCGTAACTATAACTTACAGCGTCCCTGCCCACATAGCAATGAAATATTTCTAGAATATTCCTAGAATATTTAATTTTGATATTAAAATATTTCTAGAATATAACCAGAATATTTTGAAATATTCTCACAATGTTCTCAGAATATACTTTGGCAGCGAATATTACATTCTCACAATATTTTAAAGGTATATTTCTAAAATATTACAAAAAAAAATATTGTGACAATATTTTTTAAATGTTTTATGAATATATTAAAAAAATGCAAAGAGTAAGGGATTCGAACCTCGTACTTCAAGCACTTCAGACTCGTGCGTTACCAATTAACTCACAGGTTACTACGACGGTGAGAGGATAAAAAAGGCTATTTAAGGTAGTTCAAATGGTTATTTGTCTGTGTAAGTCATTTTTTCCGTTTAAAAAAATTCAAAGTTATACAACTTTATATTCAATTTAGATTAGATTCATATCATTTTTTTGAAAATTGGCGATCCCATCACCATGATCTCCCTTGTAAGTTAGAAATTGACCTATATTGTTAATAATATAAAAATATATTCTAACTATAATAAAAAAAACTTTTTAGGAATTTAAGTTTCATACGACGATAATAAGATATAATTGCGCTGATAAAACTAAAAAAATTATGTTAATAAGATAATTCTTATTTTCTTCAAAAAATTTGAAATTATCTTTTAAACAAGATAGTGTAACCAACTACCATACAGTAGATAGCATAGTTTTACATTTTTAAGATTGTACTACGTAGATCAAGATTAAAATTTTTCACTGAAAATATTCTACATATCAATATTAATATATATATAAATATAAACATAAATCTTATGAATTGTATTTTCGTAAAAAAAAGATATTAAATGTGCCAATCGTAAAAAAAAAATTTTCTGACAGGGAGAAGTTGTATAAATAATTAACGATTAATTTGTAAGTTCAGTTTAATCGGGTTTAATAGTTAACAATTTTTAGTTTATATATAAATTTATATAGTTATTTAAATTACAAATATTTAAAACAATTTAGCTATTGAACAGAGATGCTAAATTTCATGCAAGAGTCACTGGAGTACCTTCTCCAACAATTTTGTGGCACAAAAATGGTCATCAGCTAAACAATTGTAATAAATATAAAATACGTCGCGATGGAGAGGTTTGTAGTCTATCAGTTCATTGTGTAGAAGAAGATGATGTAGGTCTTTATAGCTGTATAGCTACTAATAGAGATGGAACAGCTACTTGCGAAGCTCAACTTTCAATAGCTCCAAAGATGTAATGTTTAATTAACTTGATAAAATAATTGTTATATTAATTGATAACTATGTACTTTAATTTATTTTAGTATTGATAAGTCTAGAAAACTAGAACCTCCGTCATTTATGAAAAAAATTGGAGATTGTGAAATTTATGATGGTATGACTGCAAAGTTCACTGCATGCGCTACTGGATGGCCAGAGCCCGAATATGAATGGTTCTTCGATACAAATAGGCTGTACGAAACTGAGCGTATAAGAATGGAAAAGGAAGATAACGGATTACTTCGATTAAAAATTTTACATGCTGATTCTCTTATTGATTCTGGTCGATATAAATTACGAATTTTCAATCCCCATGGCGAAGCATACTGTGAAGCAAGCATTCTATTTGACAGTATGATTTGTTTTTGCAATTAATTTAAAAACATTCTTAATCATTAAATTAAAATTTATTGTGTTATATTATTATACAGAGTGTTCAATAAGTAAGAATAGAGGTAAATTGTTACAAACAATCAGAATAATTGAAACCCGTTTCCTTAGTTACTGAACACTATATAATCCCTACTTAATATTAATATTTTCTAATAAATTTATTTTAAAAATATAGCAAATTAAAAACTCTTTTTTTATGCTTTTACATTTTCATGTGTTATTTAACCTGTTTACTTAAATGAATAAAGAAGTACCATAGAAATTGATTTATTGGTAAAATGTGATTTTAGACGGACTAGATTCTCGTTCAAAACGTCCTGTGGGAGAACTTTACAAAGATTTCGATCGCTACCGTGCTACTGGCGCACCTTTGCCATTACCAGATCCACCGATAATAAGCCGTATGACAGATAGACAAGTAACATTATCCTGGAAACCATCCATACCTATTTCTCCTCGAGCTCCAGTCACTTACCTAGTAGAATTGGAGGAACAACCTAAAGGCGAATGGACTACAGTCAGAGCTGGTATAAGAGGAAACGTTTGTGATATAAACAATCTTGTTCCATTTAGGGATTATAAATTTAGAATTAGAGTTGAAAATAATTATGGTGTTAGTGATCCTTCACCATTTGTCTTAACATTCAGGTATAATTTAAAAATACTAAATTAAGCCTTATTATTTAATAATTTGAAATTAACTAAATCAATTTAATTATAACAGGGAAAAACTTGAACTAGCACCACCTAAATTTACTCCATATTTACCAAAAGAAACTAAATTCAATCCAGAATTATCACCTTACTTTCCGAAAGATTTTGATATCGAGAGACCTCCTCATGATAATTATGCTCAGGCTCCGAGGTATGTATAAAATAAATATATAATTTTTGTTATTCTTGTGTATAATGTGTGTTATAATATAACCATAATTTTTCAGTCTTATATGTTTATATTCAGTGAAAAGTTCATTTTTTTATATGAATGAAATTTGCTAAACTCTTTATATCAAAAAATAATTTAAAAACTATTTAAATAATTATAAATAATTTTAGATTTTTACATCAAGAACATGATACACAATATGGAGTCAAAGGTCATAATGTCAACTTATTTTGGTTCGTATATGGTTATCCAAAACCAAAAATGCAGTTCTACTTCGATAATCAACTTATAGAAATGGGGGGTCGTTATGATTCAAGTTACACTAGAAATGGTCAAGCAACGTTATTCATTAACAAGTATAATTTTATAATTACCTAAATAAAAATTTAAAATAGTATTAAAAGTTTTAACAAATCTAAATTAAAAAGACCTTATTTTTAATGATTTTCTTTAATTTTGTGGTTCTTCCTTAATCAACAATTTAGAAATTAACAAATGTTTATCATTAAAAAGAAAAAACTATTATAAAATGTTTATAAACGTTTGTGTTTTTTATTTTTATTTAATTTTATGAAAGTTGTTTTATTAAAATAAAATAAAAATTTATACAAATATTACCATTTTTAGAATGCTAAATCGAGATATTGGTGTGTATGAAGCTGTCGCTACCAACGAACACGGAACAGCAAAACAAAGAGTTCGATTACAAATTGCAGAGTATCCTAAATTTATTAAAAGACCTGAGGAGGCATTTGTAACTTTACGTAAAAACTGTAAGTTAGAAGCTCGAATAGTTGGTGTTCCATATCCAGAAATTAAGTGGTACAAAGATTGGCAACCTCTAGTAAATTCTGCAAGAATTCAAGTAAAAAAATCCTCTTTATTTATTTATTTATACAATTAACGGACAACTTTTTTACAATCTCATTATTGGCTTATTAGTTTTATGAATTATTATTACTTATCCTAAGCTATGAGAAATCTTACGAGAAATAAAGATAGTAATAGTAATAAGGTAATGAAATTTTTTTTTGTTTGTAGAGGACCGAAAAATTCTTTTAATAGCCCCCCTCTCTAAAAACTTGAAAACTACCTAAACAATCACTAATTAACATCCTATTTTAGCTTTTTTCATTTAATTTACTTTATATGTTTAGATTGAACAAGTAGAACCAGATGTATGTATTTTGCGAATAGAAGATGTTATCATGAAAGATGCAGGATTGTATAGTATAAGTGCTCGAAATCTAGCTGGCTCTATATCTACTTCTGTAGCAATTCATATTGAAGACCGAGAATCTGACTATTTTAATAATGGTAAATCAGAAACTAAATGGAAACGAAAGGATATATCAGATTTATACGACATTGGTGACGAATTGGGAAGAGGAACGCAAGGTGTTGTTTATCACGCTGTTGAACGGTCAACTGGCAAAAATTACGCTGCTAAAATTATGCATGCGAAAGGAGACTACTTAACTAAATTTATGGATAATGAAATAAAAATAATGAGTGAATTAAGTAATCGGCGAATAATTCGTATACATGATGCTTTACAGTCACAAAAAACATACGGTATCATCACTGAACTGTATCCTTTAAATAACAAATTTTAGATATAAAATAATTTATTTATTTAAAAAGAAATTACAGTTGAAATTAAGAAGTTTTCTAATATGTTGTCGTGAAAGTTTTGCGTATGCTTTTCAATTCACATGTATATTTGTTATAAGTGTACTTAATAGTGAACCAGAGAGGAATTTCTTCCTGTATTACTATTATAAAAAATTTAATTTGAACATATCAAAGTTAACTAAAAAAAACTTGTGGTTTTTGTTTTTTTTTTTTAATACTCGTAGCCGCCAAAATGTACTACCCCTTGGACCATTATCCTTTCAGTACGAGCTTGGTGAAATTTTTTTTTAATTTGATTTTAGACTACATAAACTTAGAAGTTTCTGTGGGTAGAACTTAACTTTTTAAAGTCACTATAAAGAAAATTTACTTACTGATAATTTTAGTTATCGAGGAGGAAAATATACATAAACATTTTTGAAAATAATGTAATTTGGATCTAGTAATAATGTCATAACGTTATACTCATTTTATTATTCATACATTAACTACAACTATACCTGAGTAACACAGTGAATACGTAGCATAGTATATATCATATCTGGCAATGATTAACGTTACTATAAAAAAATGCTTTGATGCCAATCTGTTAATTTTTTTTATTGAATTAGCTCATTTTGAAGTTAAATAACTCATATAAAAATTATCGTTGGAACGTTTTATTTTTTTTAATTTAATGTACATTTAAAGATATTTAAGTTAGTACAGGTTTTGGTTTACCAGACGTCCCAAAAAATTAGAAAAAATTGAAAGTAAAGTAATTTTTTTCATTGGACAAACTTTTATTTTAATATTGTAGTAAATTTTACGAGCTTTATTATTCTCACAGCTATCTACTCAGGTTGACGGTTAGTTTTTATATGTTCATTGCTTTAGTCTATTTTTTTAATGAAATTCGACAAACAAGAATATCAAAAGAAAACTTATTATCACTAGTAAAATTTTATTCAAATTTTTTGCGTTGATTGGTTCAACTAGATAAATGTAGGTTTATTGACACATAGATAAAAAAATCGATTAAGTAAGAATTTTTGTTGACAGACACAAAAATGATTACATCGTATTAATACCAATATTTTCTTAACATCGTATCGAAGCGAAATAAAACGAAAAACTATTAAAGCATTTAATTTTATTACCATTTTTATACATTATCTGACACAAAATGATTTTACTAATTTTATAGAAATTATTTGAGTTATTAACTCAAATAAATTAATTATACATTAAATATGTCCATATTTCTAAGATATGCAAAAATATGCAATAGAAAACTTCACAGTTTTATTACTGTTGTTACAAAATAGTATCTCATTTACTATGGTTTCTCATCTAACAAAAGTTACATGCAAATATATATGAGCCCAGATTATTACGATTTATTATAAAAATTAATTTCGATTTATAATTAAAATATACTATAAATAATTTGAAGCAATATTTTCTTACGTTAGTTTTAAAGGGGTAATAAATATTTTTAAATAGAAATTAAAATGAGACTTAACATAATTTTACTAGTGCTGGAGGTGGTGAGATATTGGATGTTCTTACCAAACATTCGTTTTTGACTGAATATGATGTATCTTTATACATCATTCAACTATTAAAAGCCTTGAAATATATGCATGACTTTGATATAGCTCACTTAGGTTTAACAGTAAGTACCAAATATTTTTAAAATCGTTAAAAAATTACTTTTGTCGTATTATAACATTCTTTTTCTTCTTCTTCCTCCTCACTTCATTCCTTAAACTACTTGGAGTCGGCCACCCTTATCCTAAACTTCCACTTGACACGATCTCCCGCATCATCGACGCTCACATCAGCTGTCCTCATATCGCATTCAATAGTATCCCTCCATCTCTTTTTTGGTGTTCCTCTACCTCTTCTTCCTTCAACATTCATTTCTATAACTGTTCTTACAGCTTCCGACTTTTCTTTCCTCCTAACATGACCAAACCATCTAAGTCTATTTTCTCTCATCTTATCCACGATTGACGCTATACTTATATTCCCTCTTATATGCTCGTTCCTAATTCTATCTTCTCTAGTCACTCCACTCATCCATCTAAGTATTTACATCTCTGCTACACTCATACTCTGCTCTACTTTCTTATCAACTGCCCAACACTCTGAACCAAACATCATAGCTGGTCTCACTACAGTCTTGTAGAATTTACCTTACAGCCTCATTGGAATTCTTTTATCGCATAAGACGCCAAACGCTTCACTCTATTTCAACCACCCGCACTTAATCCTGTGTGTTACATCCTAGTCAATATCACCGCTCTTTTGCACAACTGACCCTAAATACTTAAAACTTTTCACCTCTCCAAACACGTCCTCGACTATTGTCACTGATTTCCTCATTTCACCTAATTCGTGTTCTCCTTTGTCAAACTCTTACTCATTCATACCTTTTCTCATTAATACTCACTTTAATTAATTAATAACCTCTCTCGGTACTCTATCATACGCTTTTTCAAATCTATAAATATCATACACAGCTTTTTCTTCTTTTCCCTAAACTTTTCTATTATTTGTCTCACACAAAATACTGGGTCCATTGTTGACTTACCAGGCATAAATCCAAACTGGTTTTTAGATACTGTTGTCTCATTTCATATTCTCTTATTTATTACCTATTCCCAAATTTCCATACTATGACTCATAAGCTTTATCCCTCTATAATTTCCACACTACTGTATGTCACCTTTACCTTTAAATATCAGCACCACTATACTATTACTCCATTCATTTGGAATTTTCCCTTCTAATAAGATTTTATTTAAAAGTTCCTTCAACCACCTTATGCCAACACCACCTAATATTTTCCATACTTCTACTGGCATTTCATCTGGTCCTACTGCTTTATACTTTTTCATTGATGCCACAGCCTCCCCTCTTTTTTACTAATTAAATCTACCCGCCGTATTAAAATATTAATTTTTAATTTTTTAAAACAACTTTTAGCCAGGAGATATACTATTATCTCATCCAGGTGCAAATACAATCAAATTATGTGATTTTGGACTTAGTAAAAAAATAAACAGAAGAAAATTAGAGCCAGTTGAATACGGCATGCCAGAGTTTATTTCACCTGAAATAGCTAAAGGAGAAGGAGTTGATTTATACTCTGACATGTGGTCAATTGGAATTATTACTCACTTGTTATTGACTGGCACATCACTTTTCCGTTGTGTTAATGATGCCGATACTCTAGACAGAGTTAAAAATGGCTCATATACACTCAGCACAAAAATAAGCTCGCTCGCAAGAGATTTCATATCAAAACTTTTAGTAATAAATCCAAATGATCGTTTAGACGTAATAAAGGCTTTACAGCATCCATGGTTACAACTCGGTGAAGATATACCAGTAGACGCTGAAAAAATCAATACAGATTCTCTTAGAAATTATTACAATAATTTCAAGTAACCTATTTTTGTAATTTTTTTATTATTAAAATAAAAATGCATAAATGTTTAACAGGGATTGGTACAGTAATTCTTCCTGTAAAAATTGGTACAGGCGTAGGCCATTGTCATCAGCTTACAGCCATCCATCAAAAATGATATACCCTCCAGGTTTAAAATGTACACCCAGTCCATCACCTGAACCTGAACCACCAAAACAAAAGAAACATGTACCGTGTTGGAAGGATAAAATCCCTGATAAAGATAAAGAAATAGTCAACACAGATATTGGAATTATTAAATCAGAAAGCCACTATCAATACGGTCCAGATACTTATTTATTACAACTAAGGGATACAAATTTCCCTGTACGTTTAAGAGAATACATGAAAGTTGCTGGTAAAAGCTTAACCGGTCGAGGAGGAAGTGAATCACATTTAGACTGGGAGGTAATTTAAGTAAATTTTTTTTTATATATATATAAAATTAATAAAAATGTTTAGACTCCTGTTATTCGCGAGAGAAGGCGATTTACTGACATAATGGATGAAGAAATAGAAGATGAACAAAAAGCAAGGATAAGTCAGTATGGCGCTGATGTTTATACGCTGAGAAGACTTAAACAAGAAATTGGATCACGACCTACTGCTCATGTGGAAGCTGAAGCTATTTTAGAGTCGCGAATAGATGGACAACCTCCATTCTTTAGAGAAAAACCACAAAAACTACCTATAGAACCAGAAAAACCAGCTGATTTAATGTGCTTAGCAGTTGGTGTTCCAAAACCTATTGTTCAATGGTTTAAGTAAGATATTAACTTGAAACATTTGTTATACTACTTTATTTCTTTACTTTTTTAACGTTTCTCTCAAAACTTCAGTTATAATTTTACCAATTTTTTATCAAAAATTATAATCAGTTAGAGTAATATATGTGAAAAAAGTAAAAATTAATACCAACTATAAATACTATATTAGCTTTCCCAATATTTTTCTAAGATATGAATTAATGTGCATGAATCTTTCTGTATTATTAAAATAATGAGGAATATAATAGTAAAATCAGCGAAAATGGCGTAAAAAATGATAATTTAATGTAAAATTGTTTTTTGTCATTTATCGGTTTATAAAGATTTAACATCTAAAATGTTAATTTAGATCTAGGATTAAACTAGCCCTAAAATATGTTGCAAGAAATATAATTTTTATGGTCTCACATTTTACACCAACCCCACTTTTTAAACTGTTTTGTTTTTGTTGTAAGGATGATATATCTCCTTCAGAATAAATTTGGTCATTGAAAAATTACCAATGTATTAGTGGACTAGTTTAACCCTACTTAGATTACACCGTGGTGTTTCAACTTACCTTGCAAATAGGTTACTATAACCAAATAATCAAAAGCTGAGATACTTTTTTTTGTGCGTGTGTCTACAACTAATTTTTTTAATTTGATCTTGTTGATCAAATTAAAAAAAAGCTATAATTTGTATGCATATCTGTATATCAGTAATTTTATTAACTTTAATAAACTATTTCATTATGAGTTATTAATAATTAATTATTACCACAAATATTTTAGAAATGATGTAGTTTTAACAGAAAGTCATAGAATTAAAATGTTAGAAGATAACGATGGAAGATCAATTCTTAGACTGGATCCAGCTACAGAGTTAGACTTGGGTATTTATAAAGTTGTAGCCAGAAATAAATTTGGCCAAACTACTGCACGAGCTCGGTAATAAGTAATTAAAAATTTATTGGAGTAATATGTAATTAATATTCTATGTTTTAGACTTGTTCATGCTCGAGAACCCGGAATTATGGAAGTTCCAATAGTAAAAGAGTTTTCTGATACCGAAATACTTTTACAATGGGATCATCCAAAATCTGATGGAAATGCTCCTATTTTATGTTATCAATTAGAAATTCGTGAAAATGGTAATTATAAACTTACAAGTTTAAGTAACGATTTAATTAAAGTTTTCAATAATAGTATTATGTAAATTCTTTATAAAATTTTTCATTAAAAAATATATAAGAAGTTTATAACAGTTTAAATATTTAGAAGGAGAATGGGATTTAGTGGCTAAAAATATTGACCATGAATTTTGGTTTATGCAAAATCTGAGACCCTACACCAATTATGAATTCAGATTAGCAGCTATGAACCGTATTGGATGGGGACCTATTGGACCCTCATCAGAATTGGTCCGAACTAATTTTCCTGGTTAGTACGTTACGCGAAAAAAAAGATAAATTATTAAATATTTTTTCAGTGCTGTAAAAATGAAAAAATATGCTTAAATATTTTTAGATTGTCCAAAGATACAAGTACCTCCAGCAATGCTTAATCTTCAAATAATAACTGAGAGTGGTCGTGAAATTATTGGAGATGAACCACATAACAAACTAGATTATACATTGGAGTATAAACCAACAGAATGGGTTGAACAGCCTCCTATTGAAAAGTATCGTTTTATTTCCGAAATTGCTAGGTAACATTATTATTAAATTAAATATTTTTAATTTAATACTGCCCATAAATTATTTACTCCTAATCATAATCAATTATTTAGAGGTCGATTCTCAGTTGTTCTTAAAGGAATAAATACTTCTAATGAGTCTATAATTGTAGCCAAACTAATTGAGGTAACATCTTCCACTGAATCTGTTATTAAACATGAATTTAATACATTTTGTACATTAAAACACGAACGTTTGGCGTATTTAATTGAAGCATTCAAGTAAATTAATGTTGATTTATTAACAACAACACAAGTATTTTCACTGTGGTGTAATTTATGTAGGTTAGAAAATGCACCAGTTGCTGTTTTCATTCAAGAAAAACTTCAAGGTGCTGATATTTTAACATATTTATCAACGAAAGATTACTATTCTGAACAAATGATTGCCACTATTGTTACACAAGTATTAAGTTTAATTTTTATTAGTTTTTAACCAAACTTTAAAAAAAAAATATTTTTGTATTAATTATTTTGTATTTAATTATCACATGATATTTTTATAAAAAAAAAACACTATACTACACTTAAAATCTTTTAAAATTTCACCATTTTTCTTGAATAGATATTAGATGGACTACAATATTTACATTGGCGAGGATATGCTCATCTAAATTTACAACCAGATAACATAGTCATGGCATCAGTAAGAAATATTCAAGTTAAACTCATAGATTTCGGATGCGCTCAAAAAGTCAGTAAACTTGGTGCTATTGTTAAAACTGATAGTGTGTTAGAATTTACTGGTAATTATTAAAACTCATTAAGATAAACTTCAAAGTAAATTCTATATTATATTTAATAGCACCTGAAATCCTTTGTGACGAACCAGCTTTTCCATATTCAGATGTATGGTCACTTGGCGTGATCGCTTACATATTACTTTCTGGAATGTCTCCATTCCGGGGAGCCAGCGATATTGAAACTAGACAAAACATTACTTTTGTTAGGTATAGATTTGAATATTTATACAAGGATTTATCTCAAGAAGCGACCAGATTTTTAATGTTATTGTTCAAAAGGACTCCAACGTAAGAAAATCAGTAGTTTACAAACATTGTTCAAAGATAAACATGATATCGTTTGTACTTAATATTACCTTTCAAAAATCAAAATAACTCAATAACCGATTACATGTACTATTGAATAATACGAAAAAAAACAATAAACGAAATATTTCAAGTTTTTTACATTCTTTTTATCGTTTATGCTGACAATTTTTAAGTCAATCAATTAATTAATTATTCTCTGGTAAAATTTACTTAGTGTGGGCGCTAGATTTTGTGTGACTTGGGGCAAATCATAAATACACCAGACTGAATTAGAAAAAATAAAACATTATAGTAGTAGCCATACTAAAAAAAATTGACTAACATAAATTTGTATTGTCAATTATTAATGGATAGCATTTTTTTATGAATTTGATAAAATTGTAAATAACCGCTAGGGTTTATAAAACAATAAAGGACTATATCATTTTTTTCTTTCTGGAGGTATCGCAGAGCACTACAAATGATCTAATAGATAACTTATTAATTTATGTTATCTTTGTTTATCTTTGTCGCGTATATATAATATTTGGATCTTAATTTTAAAAATAATATTTTACACAGAATAACAAATAACATAAAGATATTTATTATTTATAATTTGTTTATGAATTCTCCATAGAATTTTGATACTGATTCCAAATTTGGCCTTAAATTTATTCTATCACAATCAGTTTTTGAGCTAATTACTCAATACAATTTTTTTTTAACTTAAAATGATGTAATGATGTTAAAAAAATTTGTCCAAAACATTTCTTTTATAACAAAAAATTTCGAAAATTTGTAACCAATACTTGTTTTTCTGTATACTTGTATACTCAATAAGTTGACGTATATAAAGTATTAATCAAATATCAAAGCGTATTTAGCAAATCGATTATAAATCTTTCTATAAAATTATATAAAAAATGAATTATACAATTTTCATACGTAAAATTTAAATACACTATTGTATTTATTGTTAAAAAATATATAATATTATACTATATCACAACTTCAATTATATTAAGATAAAAAAATATATTGGAAAAGTATATAAAAAAAAAGTATTTATTACAAATTTTCGAGATTTCTTGTATTAAAATAAAAGTTTATGCTTTAAGTTTACTGAAAATGTTTTATTATTTTGTGATTTTACTGAGTAATTATCACTTAATTACTGATCAATAATTGTCTCAGAAACTAGATGTAATAGATAAAATGTAATCTAGGTTTGGAATCAGCATCAAATTTCTTTAGAATTCATATCAAAATTGTAAACAATAAAAAAAAAATGTATTTATTGTCCTGTGTAATTGTTTAAGAACTCAATTAAATATTTTGATATTTTTCAAAACCACTTTACCAAATTTAAATCTATTAAATAGATTTATAAATTAACAAATTTGGTTGTATTATTTAAGCTGCTATATATGTTTGATACTGTAATAATATTTCATTCATTTGTATTTGACTGTACTAATTGCCATTTTTTTATCAATATTTATATTATCCAATGTAATTTAAATATTTTATTACATTAGTAAATATTATACTAATTAAATAAGTAAATAATTAATTAGGAAATTATTTATTTTAGAAAAAGACCTTCAGCAGAAGAATGTCATGAACATAGATGGCTTTTACCTACTGAATATATGATTAAAAAGAGAGAAAAAACTATGTTTCATTCATACAAGTTACAAGTAATTATATGATATGTATTTTTATTCTTTTCTAAAGGCTAAGCCTTGTCTTAGTTTTTATATCCTGGGAAATTAAGTGCAGTGGTTTCCCGTTGCCTTCTGCACTGGGAACATGATGCTTTTTCGCCACCGTAGAAGCGCACCCATCCGTTCACCTACGGCAGTAGGCGCGGCTTAACACTAGAGTTTTGTCAACAACTAGTGTGGCCACCGCGCCACACCACGCCCCATATGATATGTCTATGAAAATTAATTCAAGGGTCATAGACGGTAATAGAACAAAATTATTGATTGCATAAGCTTGTTTTTTCTCACCAAAAAATATATTTTTAATAATAATTGTCATTAAAAAAAATTATGTATTTTAATATATATAATTTTCCTAATTTTTGTGAAACTAAACTTAAGGTGCCCCTCAATCTTTCCCGATTTCCTTCTATGACAATGCTATACTTATGGTAGGGGAACATTGGAATTCAAGCATCCTCACCATAACCTATGACTATTAAAATCAGTATCATTTCATACTTTATTATGTGATCATTTTTTTCTTCAAAAATCCAAACTTAGAAAAAATGACTCAAAAAAAATGAAGAATTTCAAATTGATACGATGTAACACACCTTAACGAACTTATTTAGTGGTGAATTAATGGTGTTATACTTCTTGTATCCGCTACTGCTACTATAACTTCATTTGTAAACTGTTATTATTTGTTTAATTGATTAAAATAAAATAAAAAAGAATGCCAAAATGACATTCAATTAGTTTTCTTTATACATCCTCAGTATTTTATTTCTAATGATTATTTATACCTCAATAACATATAATAATTTATCGATTAATTTAATAAATTTATTTTGTTTGACCAAAAATTAAATTTTTCAGCTTTTTACGAAAGAGTATCATGAAAAGCGAACAAAGGAAGCAACTTCTTCGCAAAAACTATTGGATGTTTTAGGATCAAGACATATAGGACTTGGTCGATCAAATAGTGTAGTTGATGAATTATTGATATTCAAATAAACCTTATAGAAATTCATTTTTCTTGTTTTTGTTATGTACATTATTTATATTTTCTAAATGTACAATTAATAGACTTTTTCAAGATATATCATGTTAATTTTAATTCTTGTTAAACTATTGTTAAATATAACCTAAAATGTTACCAGTGTATTCTGTAAATTATAAAATACATAATTGTTAATAAAACTGTTTTACATTTAATTAATATTACTACTACTAGGCTTCGCATATCTAGTGCTTTGTTCAGACTTTGGGCTTCTTTGGACCATCCTCGTAAATAGGTCACTAATTCCAGTTGGAATACATGGCTACACCGGGGACGATAAGTGCTTTGCATGAAAAATATTACATCAGAATCAATGTAACATAAATTCATTAAAAATATAATTATTAAAATAAGGTAAAAAAAAAACGGTAGCACAATGGGGTCGCGGCACAGTAGAGGCATGGCATAGTTGGGATAAGTATAAATGATATCTGACAATGATTAAAATCACTATCGTAAAAAACGCTTAGACACAAATCTGTAGATAGTGTTTAATTTTAAGAAATTGGTAGATTATTTCAAAAACAACAATAACTATTATTCCCTTAATTTTATCCCGATGAGTTATTTGATTTATAATTATTATATATGAATAAATAATAATTTTAGTAATTAAATTTAGTATGAAATTGATATTCAATAATTTAATATTGTAATTTTTACGGAGATATTATAAAAATAATAAAGTAGTTGTATATTTCTTTACTTTTAACGCATATACAAATTTAAAGAGCTTGAAGCAATATTTTTCAATAAAAACTGATTGTTATTTATAATAAAGTTATAAGTTTTATACAATGGACTACAAGGAACTTTCATCAAAAACAAAAATATACTTTTCTACATCAACTATTAGCGATGTTTTCAAATATGCAATAAAACTTTTTCTATCACTTCTAATTTTTAATATTATTACTTATTATTAAAAAATAAGTTTTTACATATAAAAAAAATAATTAAGAACAAAAAAAAATTGTTTAAAATTAATACGGTGTTTTATTATTAATATTTTAAATATAAGGAAAATGGCATATTTAACCTATTTTGTTAATCCTATAATTTTTGTTGATTTTTGTGAAATTTTATAATAAAAAAAACCAGCACAGGGGGATCACGGCACAGTGATGACGTGGCATAGTTGGATCAAGTAAAATGATATCTGACAGTGATTAAAATCACTATCATAAGAAACGCTTCGATGCAAATCTGTAGATAGTGTTTAATTCTAAAAAAATGATGGATAATTACAATAGCAATACCAACTTCTATTTCCTTAATTTTACCCAGATTAGTAATTCTTTTAATTATATATTATATAATATATTTAATAATTAATAATTTAATAATTTAATATTATACTATTTACAGTATATTTATCAAAAAAGCTCATTATTTTTTTGCTTTTTTAGCGTAATAGAACACTTAAATAGAAACCACACACCCAGAGAAAAACCTCTATCTATATAATAAATTCATTGTTCAATTTGATAAATATATCATTACTATTGAACCTATGATATATTTATCAATATGATAATTTTTTTTCTTGTCTTGAACAATAATTATTTATAAGAATAGTTATTTTTTTCGTATTAATAAAACATTATCATAAACCCTTGATAAAATTTCTCTATCAAAATTGATTGAGGTTTTTCTTTGGGTGTAGTAATCATTTATAAGTAACTTTTTTAAAAAGATTCTACAATTTAAATATCCAAAACTGAATTAATTTGAATGATTTACTTAAACTAAAAAAAAAGTTGTCTTTCGAATATCCCCTGTGGACAAGAAAAGCGTCAGATTTATAAAAAAAATATACCAAATGATAGGTAACGACATCATGCATTCATATAAAAAAAAAAAAAAGTTATATTGATTTGGTCATTTTTGATAAAGTTATAGCAGTTAAAAAAGTTATAAATTGTATACACTGGAATTGACAATTTTTAAGAGTATTTGCATCGAAGCTAAAATCTAAATATAGTAAAATAATTATAATATGAATAAGAACTTTCTTCTAGCGCGGGGCGACTACATTGATAGAATCCTACATGTTTATTGAATCTAAATGAGATAAAAATCAAAGGAGTTGAAAACTTAAAAAGAATTAAGGAAAAATTGCAAAAAAATCATTCCTATAGGCAATGATTTTTACTGAATCGGCAACCGTTCGTCGCATTCGTTTTTTGATAAAATTGGATTAATATAGGAAGCCATGGAAATTAATTATTTATGAGAAACCATAGAAATTAATAAAATTTAAGAAGCTATAGAAATGTATTAATTTTAAGAGGTCATGGAAATGCATTAACAAGAACATGTTTTTTGTTTATTGTTTTTTACTAAATTAAAATTACGTTTTAAATTTTTAATTGAAAATGCCGATTTTAATAAGACACACTTAAAGTTTTAAAATTGTCATGGCGCTCCTGAAAAATTCATAAAATAGATATACTATCTTTTATACACATTACAATATTATACAACAAATTAAGTTAATTTTATGGAAAAGGTACTGCGTCGTCTTATGTAACACAATAATGGATTTGAATTATATAAACATGTTGAGAGAAAAAAATTAATAATTAAAAAAAAAACGGTACCACAATTGGGTCACGGCACGGTGTAAGCATGGCATAGTTGGGACTAATGTAGATAATATCAGGCAGTGATTAAAATCAGTATCTTAAGAGACGCTTCACAGGCAATGATTTTTACTAAATCGGCAAATGTTCGTCGCATTCGTTTTTTGATAAAATTGGCATTTTAAGATGATTCAGATTAATTATTTTTTTTGACTTAAAAGAAAAAAAAATTGAAATAAGTTAAACTTTATATTCTATGTCAATTATCTTATTATATAATAGAACAAGGAAATATTTATATAATATTTATGAAAATCATTGTACTCCCCTTGTCAGGTAAAATAAAATCAAATACAAAATCCAGAATTTTAACACAAAATAGCATATTTTTGAATACGGTAGCCATTTGCACATAGAAGATAGGTCTTCGGGACAAATTTTTTTTTTTAATTTTATAGTACATGACATAAGCTTTAATTTGACATATGTTTAAAGGACGCAGTATTTCCGGAACATTTTCAAAAATTAAGTTGAAAAAGTTAGTTTTTGTAAAAAAGTTACTATTTTGAATTCCCCCTGTGAGCAGAATAAGTGTTAGATTTTCAAAAAAATTATAACAAATGAAAAGAAATTACATAAGGTTTCAATATAAAAAAATATTATTTTGATTTGTTAATATTTGAAAATGTTATTTTAACTTTCATAACTAATCATAATTTTTTTGGAGATTTCCTCCATTTGCGGAGAACAAGGGAAAATTTTTCAATTTTTTTTTTAAATTTGTAATTTTTTGGGGGATAATTCAGCTGACGTATTATCACGAGGATGTACGCCAAACGAATTAAAAAATAGCATGCTTTGGTGGCACGATCCGGTATNACATGCTTTGGTGGCACGGTCCGGTATGGTTAATTAATAATGATTTCAAAGGTTCAATAGCACACACCGAAGATTTGGAACATATAAACGATATTAAAAACGAAGAAAAGATTACGTCTATTATCGCGTGTGCTACTACAGTAAGCCCGGTGTTTGATGTATTGATAAATATTCATCTCTGAACAAGTTATCACGCGTCGTAGCGTATTTATTACGATACAAAAATAATTCATTATCGAAACGTAATAATATCCAAAGAATTATCGGGCCGTTAGGCGTAGACGAAATATCAAAAGGAATTAAATTACTCATCAAATTATTACAAAGTATTTATTTTTCTTCAGAAATTAAAGATTTAAAGAATAAATGTATTGTGTCGGGTAACAGTAAAATATATAAATTAAATCCGTTCATAGACGACGATGGAATCGTACGCGTAGGTGGTAGATTAAACAACGCGACAATTATTGATACTGATCAACGATTTCCGATTATAATACCCAATGAAACAAATTTTTCAAAATTGATCATGTTACGCGAACACGAGAGACTGATGCATGCAGGGCCACATGCTACACTTGCCACGGTGCGATTAAAATACTGGCCACTCAATGGTCGAAGGTGCGTGCGAAAAGTTATAAGCCAATGCGTAAAAGNGCGAAAAGTCATAAACCAATGCGTAAAATGTTTCAAGGCACGACCAAAAAATATATCACCTTTAATGGGTAATTTACCAAAATTCAGAGTCGACCAGCCAAGTAGATGTTTTGAAAACTGTCGAATAGATTATGCGGGTCCGTTTCAGTTAAAATGTAACAATAGACGAAATTCCGCGACTCAAAAGTCATATATATGCGTATTTGTGTGTTTCGCCACAAAGGCGGTGCATTTAGAGCTCGTATGTGATTTAAGCACGGATGCATTTATTGCAGCTCTAAAGCGATTCATATCTCGCCGTGGTCTATGTCATAACATATATTCAGATAACGCTACTTGTTTTGTAGGTGCAAACAATTAACTTCAAGATTTAAAACAGTTAATGTCGATTGACGATCACAAAGATCGTATTCATCAATTTATGACTAGCAACGAAATAGTATGGCACTTTATTCCTCCACGGGCACCACATTTCGGCGGATTATGGGAGGCGCAGTTCACAGCATTAAAAAACATTTAAATCGCACTGTATCATCCGTAAAATTAACATATGATGAGTTCTACACACTGTTGGTGCAGATTGAGGCTTGTTTAAATTCACGACCGGTTACCTAATTATCTAATAATCCTTCTGACTTATCCGTCCTTACTCCTGGCCATTTTTTAATAGGTGACTCACTATCATCTTTGCCGGAACCCGAAATATGTAATTTAAACAATAATTTGTTATCACGGTGGCAAAGAGTACAACATATTACGCAACAAATTTGGAAACGTTGGAGCGTGGAATACCTAAATCAGCTTCAGGGGCGTTCCAAATGGAATAAACCGAATAGTTCCACATTAAAAATTGGCTCAATGGTTTTAGTAAAAGATCCAAATTTGCCTACCTTGCAATGGCAGTTGGGCCGCGTGAGTGACACATTTCCGGGCAATGACGGTGTAGTGCGAGTCGCAACAGTCAAGACAGCAAGTGGGTTAAGAAAGAGAGTGGTGAGATTATTATGTCCATTACCAATCCAAGATAATGAAGAGTCCGACTTAAAATGATTAAAATGTATTGTATATTATGTAATTTAAATTTAATGTAATACCTATTTCTTAATTTTTTGTAATAATAATAGGTAAGCGTAATTATTTATTTATGTTCTAGTCGATGAATTTTTATCTTACATTATTTATATTATTTTCAGTATCCCTTTTGATTGTGGGTTAAATCTTTCTATTATATTCCAATTGATTGTTTCATTTATTTTGTTCTATTTGGTGACAGTGTATATTATTTATTATATTTTGAAGACTGTTCTTCAAAGTGGCCCCTATGTTTAGTATACGATTATCGTTTGTGATAATGGTGGAATACCATACGCTATACGTTATACGCTGCGCCGGTAACATTGCCGAACTGTTTCGCGACGTTACTATAAATAATTTTTTATTATAATAAAATAAAATCTAAAAATACAGTCCACTCTATTTTTATTATTTAAATAACGAGTTGCTCAAACAGTGATTTTAATCACTGTCAGATATCATCTATACTTGTCCCAACTATGCCGCGACTCCACTGTGCTACCGTTTTTTAGCTGTCGCCATTTTTTCTCAGCTCTCACCGGAGTTTTTCGAGTTTTTCATCGGGACATTTTTGTAATATGAGAAAATGTACTTCTGATTTTAATATATTATAAAAGTCGTCATTTTTAGCGTAATGGTAAACATAATAATAAACAAATACATATAATTGATCTCTTTATGTACGAGGTGTATTGCTGGAGGTGTATTATAAATGAAATAAAGTGTATGAAATTTTAACAAAGACATATGGTGAGTCTAACATGAGTAAAACAAAACTTTACGAGTGGTATAAGCGTTTCCAAGATGCCCGTAAAGACGTTAAAGATGACGAACGCCCTAGCAAATCACAACCGATGAAAATGTGGAAAAACTGAAAGAAATGATTATGAACGATCGCCGAATAACAATCAGTCGCTGATGATGTTAGCATATCGATTGGCTCATGTCATGAAATTTTTTCGAATGTTTTGGGTATGAAACGTGTAGGAGCAAAATTTTTGAACAAAAACAAAGGCAAATAGAAGTTGTTCAGGAGTCACAAAATGTAGTCAACGACGATGCAGGATTACTGAAATGTGTTTTAACAAATGACGAAAATGGATCGACAAGTGCAATCGAACGTGAAGGTTATGCTAACTGTGTTCTTCGATTTTAATGGCATAGTGCATCATGAATTCTTGCAATGAGTCAAACAGTCAATAAAGAGTATTACCCACAAGTTGAATGAAGCTATCCGAAAAAAACGCCCGGATTTATGGCAAAACAATTCATGGCTTTTGCATTACAATAATGCACCTGCTCACACTTCATTGCTTGTTCATAAATTTTTACCCAAAAACAATTCTGTAACGATGCTCCGCCTTCATATTCACAAGACATGACTCAGTGTGACTTTTTTCTATTTCCAAAAATTAAGAGAACCATAAAAGGCCATTGTTATACAAGCATAGCTGACATTAAAAGCGCATCGCTAAATCGAACAAGTGTCAATGCTTCTTAATTAATATCTAATGGATACTTTTTTTAAGGCGACAACATAATAATTATGTTGTCGCCAATTATTGTTGACGAATAAATATTTTTTTTATAGAACAAAAATTCACGTTATTCTCTGAACACACCTCGTATATCAAAATAGTTTAATTTGTATATCACAATTAGCATCACTATATGGTTTATTTATAGTAGGTCTCAAGTATGCTTAATATTTATACAAATATATTTTAATGTAGTTTGGCTAATATTTATGCACATAAATGTCGCACCATGATTTGCTATTTTTATCATTAGTTTTTTATATTTAAATTAGTAAATGACGATGGGACCTGTATTATAAGTAGAAAAAAATCTTAAAAACTTTCAACATAAAATTTTAAAACTAAAAAATTTGTATTTTACAATAAAAATTTAACTATTTTGACATACTAATCATACTAATTATGATATTATCATACTAATATGACCATTTGTGAATACTTTATTAATTATTAATAACGAATTTAAAAATAGATATTAACATAATATTTAATAAAATAATAAATAGATTACGAGTCTGACAAAGGAAAAAACGAGATAAGTGAAATGAGAAGAATAGTGACAATAATGGAGGATGTAATAGGAGAGTTGGACAGCTTTAATTATTTAGAATCAGTTGTGCAAAAGAACAATGGTATTGATAAAGGTGAAAGACACGGGATTAAGTGCAGGTAGTTGAAGTAGAGAGAAGCGTCAGATATGTTATGCGATATAAGAATTTCAATATGCCTGAAAGGTAAGTTCTTTAGGTAAAGGTAGTTCAGAGTGTTGGGCGATTGACAAGAAAGTAGAGCAGAGAATGAGTGTAACAGAGATGAGAATGCTTAGATGGATTAATGGATTTTACTAGAGAAGATAGGATAAAGAACGAAAATAATAGAAAGAGTATAGGTTTAGCATCTATTGTAGGATGAGAGAAAATAGATTTAGATGATTTGATTATATTCTTCTCGGAGAAGAAGGAATCTTCTCGGAATCGGTAGCTGTAAGAACAGTTATAAAAATAAATGTTGAAGAATGAAGAGGAAAAGCAAGGCTAAAAAAACCCAGCATAGAGCGATCACGGCATAGTTGGGTCATTTTTAGAAATTTAATGCAGTTTTAAGTAAAAAAAAATTTAAAAATGTCAAAAATTAGTGACTTTTACATTTGTAATTTTTTGGAGGATTTCCCCGATTTACAGGGTACGAGAGAAACGTTTTCAATTTTTGAAAGTAATGTCTTACTATATGTGATCATTTGTTATGTTCATCAAAATCGGTCCAGCGAGAGCTGAGATTGAGCGTTCACAGACACAAAAATATATAGTTAAAGAACACTATATATTGTTTTAATTAAAAATTACAGAATCTACAAATTAATAAAAATACCCCCTTAATTACCGATTTCCCCCTAACTACTCTTTTAGCATACCCCTTAATTACCAATTTCCCCCTAGCTACTCTTTTAGCATACCCCTTAATTACCAATTTCCCCCTAACTTCTCTTTATTACTCGCCCTTAATTACTATATTTCACATCCTGAATTACTAATTATTACCATTCAATTACTGCATCTCACAACCTTTATTACTAATTATTCCTATTTTCTCTCCCTTAATTACCAATTATTATTATTCTGCTCCCTAAATACATATTACTACTAATTTATTACACCCTTAATACTAAGTACTATTGGTTTATACTAATTATCATTATTCTGCAAAGAAATTATAATAAACAAAAATATACTTTTCTTTTTCAACTTTTCGCACAGTTTTTAAATCTCTAATTAGACTTTTTCTATCACTTCTAAGTTTTGATAGAATAACTTATTATTAAAAAATAAGTATTGACCTAAAAAAAATTGTTTTAAATTAATTCTAATTTTAATTGTTAATATGTTAAAAATATGAAAAATGAAATATTTAACCTATTTTTGTTAATCCTTTATGGTTGATTTTTGTGAAAGTTTATAATAAAAAACCCAGCACAGGGGGGTCGCGGCACAGTGGTGACGTGGCATAGTTGGATCAAGTATAATGATATCTGACAGTGATTAAAATCACTATCAAAAAAAAACGCTTCGATGCAAATCTTTAGATAGTGTTTAATTTTAAAAAATTGGTGGATTATTCCAAAAGCTTCATAAACTGCTAGTTCCTTATTAATATCCTGATTAAGATAAAGTATGTCGAATGAAAAAGGGATTATTAAAAAATAGTATTTCCCATAAAAAAATTATATTGATCAATACACTTTTCAATAAGTTATAGCATTATAAAGTTAAAAATGTAAAAAATAAAATCGAGAATTTTCACACAATAGCATTTGGTAGCCATTTTCGCTGTGAAGACAAAATAAAGTCCGAAATTTTTATTTTTACATAATAAAGTAGATTACATTAGCTTTAATTTAATATATATATAAAAGTACCAGACTTTCCGGAACACTTTCAAAATTTAAGTTGAAAAAGTTAATTTTTTGTAAAAAAGTTGTCATTTTAAATCCCCTCCTGTGGGCAGGTAAAAAGTCAGATTTATAAAAAAAATATATCAAATGATAGGTAATGACATCATGCATCAACAAAAAAAGGAATTATATTGATATGTTTATTTTTAAAAAAGTTATGGCAGTTTTTAATAAAAAAATTGAAAAAATTTCGAAAATTAGCGATTTTTAAATTTGTAATTTTTTTGGAGGGTTCCCTCATTTACGGGAAATGAGTGAAAATTTTTCAATTTTTGAGGGTATTGTCTTCGACTAGATACGATTTGTGATCTTTTGACTTATCATTGAAAGAAATCGGTTCGGTAAGAGCTGAGAAAAAGTGGTAACAGACACAAAAAAAAAAAATTTAAAAAAACACATCATAGTAAAATTAATACCTTCTCAGCTTCACATCGAAGCTAATAATATTTTGAAAACTTCTATGTAATTAATATTTTAAGTTTAAGATTAACTCCAAATAAGTAACTTATATATTTATGTAATAATATACAATGTTCAATTAAATCAAAATGTTAAAAATTATGAATTTTGAAATATGATTCGCTATCTGCACTATCAGTGCAATTCTACATGACTCATCGTGTACTCAAGATAATTATTTTTACTTAAAATTTTTTTAAATATAAATGAATACATCTAAAATATAATAATAAAAAAATTATGTTTAATATTATAATATTAATATACTAGTAAAAAGTTAGTAAATGGACGGATAGTTTACATTTACAGTCAGTTGTCAAACACTTAATTTTATAATATAAAGTGAAATTTAATACAAAAATATTGGTTGTTATTCAATTGAAATTCAATAAATTAAATATATACCATTTATTTATGTACACTTAATAAAAAATTCTATATCTGATATTCTTATATTATTGTTCATAAAAGTTACGTTCATGTGGTGGATACATTTGCATAACTAAATTTTTACTCTCTCTCCTTTTTTCATAAGAAATGCGGGCTTCCTAAATAAATATTAAATATTATATTTTATCAAAGAAATAATGAATAATGAATTTATTTCAATCAACCTTATATAAATACCAAGCACCATATGTATGAAGTAATGCTGATACAATTGCAGCATAAAATGACCAAGACAAATGGTTAAACATAGGATACATCAACCAATCACGTCTCCAACAATTAAATGGAAATATTAAAACACTCAAAAATATTAAGAATGCTACAAAATATAAAAATAACATTAGTAACTTAATGTAAATACTAATTTTAATTTTAATAATCACCTGAAATTGTAGTAGCCAAAAAACAAGCCCCAGAAAGAAAATATTCATATTTTAAAACAAGACGTAGAGGAAAACGAGTCAAAATTGCAGCTATCATTACCAATGTTCCAAGAGTTAGAATTAAAGCCAATGTCATGCATAATTCCAAAAATAATAGCCAACCTGTAATAAGAAAATTTACTTTACTTTTAACAATTAGTTATTGTTCTTCAATCTTGATTTTTTATAAATGGATAAAATATTTGTTTGCTCAAAAAATATACATCTTTAAAAATAATCAATTTTTTTAGTTGAAATTTATACCTGGTAAAAGCCATTCTCGGATTACATAATATTCTTCACTAAATACATTGTTACATCCATCGAACAATTTATCAAATTGATAACGAGGAAAACGAAAATGATCAAAACAATAAGTCCATAAACCCATGTGTTTAAAATTTATAAAAGCTTCATCATATGATTCTATCCAATATGGGCTAAAATTTTCACAATTTATTAAAAAAAAAAAATGAATTATTACTAAAAACATATACTTATCCATACCTCAGAAAGGCAATTACTAAGAAAAATCCTCCAATGTAAACAATAACGCCAGCATCACTAATTAATTCTAAAATATAATTTAACAAATTTATTAGATTTAGTAAATGTGAATAATTTTCACAGTTTTGTTTTATTACAATTAAAATATTCCTGTAGTTTTTCAAAACAGTCACTTTAAAAAATTAATATACTAAGTATTTTAAGATTTAGTCTCTTACTTGTCTCTTCTATTAAACACAGGAATAAACCTACAGATGTAATTAATGTTTTATTTTAGTTATGATTAATTAGATGATTAGATTCTTTAGTTTCAATTTTAATATTGTAACTTTAAAACAATAATTTTGTATTAACATTAGGCATATACATTATACTATTTTTTGAAGTTAATTTTCTTAGCAGAGATTTGTATAGATAAAAAAAAAAATTTAATTAGTATAAAAGATATCCATATTACACAAAAGAAATAGAAAATTTTAAAAAAATGTATGGAAGTTCATTAAAAATGTATAGAAAATATTTTAGATTTTTTAATTATGTATAAAAAATGTGATTAATAACCAGACATAGCAAACAAAATCTACATTTAATTTTTGTTTGTTTTTCTTTTATGTCAATTTATTAAAACACAATTCAATAATTTGTGTATAACAATAGTTATGTTTTAATTATATATATATATATAAATATGTAATAAAACAATATTTTAGATCATTATAAATAATTCTGATAGCTTACTTGATGCTTTAGGATAATCGAGTTTTTCTGAACTCATAGTTAAATAATTTTAATAGCAAATCGTAGGGATGACTTGAAAAAAAATTAAGCTATTTTAACAAATTTCGTTTGGGTTAACGCCTAACGTAAATGTTATTTTATCATTACTAATGTATATTTGATAACACCTGGGAACTGCTGCTACCACGAATTTCATTTTTGGTCTATCATGTTCAATGATAGTGATTGTATTCTTTTATTCCATATAAAAACCCTGCTGATTGGTATTGTTATCATTATTTTACAAAAAGATTACTAATGATATGGAAAAATTATTTTCATTGAGTTCATTTATTAGGAATAAGATTAAATCCATTTGCAGTTACTATTTCCTTAATATTTCCGAAGTACGTGGTCTTATTTTAGACCACTTTTAGCTTAAATTTGTGGTTGAATTTCTGAAATACTTTTTTTATCAGTTGTTCTTTATTAGTGTTACAGTTATTGGTTTCTGTATTTAAAAAAGATTAAGTAAGTAGCAATGACTATTTTTTTTATAAAAAAATAGATATTTTATTTAAAGTATACAAGTATCAAAAAAATATTATTTTAAATTTTTATTGATATAAATTTCTGATAGTAATGGGTGGTCACAATAAAATTGAGATACCAGACTATCGAATTTACAAAGTAGAAAATGTACCTGAGCTTATGAAGGTTAAAGCTATCTTAGCTACAGAAGATCTAAAAGATCCTTGGTTAAGGTAATTAAAAAAATTTTTATTTATTAAATTTACTAATTGAAATATTATTTATTTGATTTTATTTAGAAATGAAGTTTGGAGATATCCTCCTAACCGAGGAAGTGCATATGCACAGTACTTTAAATGTTGGTTTAGAGGTAAACGAGGACTTACAATTGCATTTGGGTTAGCTGCTACAGTTATTGGTATTGAAAAAACATATAATCATTTTTTTCCTGCTGAACATCATCATAAAAAACTTTATTATCCATCCTCAAGCATTCAATGAATATCAAAAATTGTGGAAACAAAACAATTGATTTATAATAAACAAATGTAGAAATTAAATAAAGCAACTTGTTACAGTTAATTAGTGTTTATTTGTACTGTAGATGAATAAATATTTTTTTCTCAAAATTATTCTAGCCACTATTTGTTAATTTATTAAATCTTAACATCATTATTCATAGATTTTATTGTATATTTAAAAATAATTATGTTATCAGATTTGATACTTAAAATTAGAAATATTTTGTTAAAACAATGACTTTTCTAAGTCAATGAATTTCTAAAACTTATAATTGATGGATAAAGGTGGCTGACCCCAAGTAGTTGGGATTAAGGCGAGAAAATAAAGAAAAATATAGTTTATTAAACTTTGTATATATTTAACTTATATCCAAGGTTTCCTTTTAGTATTCACTCTGAAAAATTGTCATAAAATGAAATGGTTCCAATGCAAATTTTTATATTTTAGGAAGTTCATTTAAATTTCAAGAGATTTTTTTTGCAATTAGCCTTTAGATTTGTTTATAATATAAACTAATAATAAATAATATAATATAAACTAAATGTTGCAGCTGCAACATAACAGTGTGTTGTACGCACGCGCGTCCAGTGTACTCGAACCGGTCTAACTTTTATCACCACACCTACTCACTACTACACAAGTAGTAGTGGACATCGTTACTACCGGCCGATCAGCGGTTACACACTACACACCACACACGCACATAATCACTTATGTAGTTCACTATAGTGAAGTATTGTAGAGTAGTAAAAATAAATATTACAATTGACGTATATTTTCTGTAGAAGGTTTTTTACCTAGCACATTTTTCATTGTGAATAGTTTTTTAGCTTCGATGCGAAGTTGAGAAGGTATTGGTTTAATAAGATGTGTGTTTTTTAAAATGACAACTTTTTCAAAAAAAATTAACTTTTTCAACTTAACTTTTGAAAATGTTCCGGAAGGTCTGACACTTTTATATAAATCTTAAATTAAAGCTAATGTAATATACTTTATCATAAAAAAAAAACCCAGCACAGGGGGATCGCGGCACAGTGGTGACGTGGCATAGTTAGATCAAGTATTATGATATCTGACAGTGATTAAAATCACTATAAAAAAAAAACGCCCCGATGCAACTCTTTAGATAGTGATACTTACTGACGAAAAGATTCCAAAACATCTAGAAAACCATATATAGTTTTAAGTTTTTCTTCATTTTGATATGAATATATTTCAATTGTCTGTGATTGTTCATAATCTGTCATTTTGATATTTGAAATAATTAACTGGACCTAAAGTTCAAACAATTAATTATTTTTAATAATTTTGATTTTAAAATTATTCTTACTTTTGATCGTTGGCATAAAGACTAGAAATAATGTTGTTATATTTTGATCAAGAAACAGATTTTATTATCTAAAATTATAATTTTTATTTATTAAAAGTTTCAATGAAAATATTGATCTCCTAGTAATTTAGTCGATTAATTGTTCTTTATATTCATTACAGTCAAAGAAAATTGCGCCACTACGTATTTGTATTTTAAATAAATTTAAGTTATAATTTTACAGAAAACGAAACTAATGACTTATTTTGTAACATCAGTTAATTTGTTTTATAGTTTATCTATAAAATGTATCAAAACAGGAAAAAATGTCTCATTATTTTTAACTCCGTTGTTACAAATCAATTTTTACTACTAAGGTAAATTTGAGAATTAAATAAGTTGTAAAAATGATATAATGTTATACAAATTAAACATTTTTATTCTAGAGATTCCATGACCTAGATAAAGCTTCTGGGATAAATGAATCTACACACACACATTTCCATGCAAATTATAATATAGAATATTAAACTAGATGAAATATATGATGAACATACATAACATTATCCTCAAAAATTAAAAAAATTTTCCTCGATACCCGTAACCTTTACTTGCCCACAGGAGGGGATTCAAAATAGCAACTTTTCAATTTAAGTTTTGAAAATGTTCCGAAAGTACTGCATTCTTTAAACATATTTCAAATTAAAATTTATGTTACGTACTATAAATTAAAAAAAAAAATTGCACCCACGACCTATTTTCTTTATACAAATGGATGCCGTATTTAAAATACCTGCTATTTTTGTTTTCAAATTTTATTTTTATTTTGTTTATTTTAAAATACTTTATGCGGGTTTGCTATAGTAACGAGTTCACCAATTTTTATCGAATTTACATGAATCTGACTTATATTAATTATAAATTTATACTTATTTTGATTATTTTGCCTCCTCAAAGTTAATAAAGCGGCTTTGAATTTTTGAACTATCGTAAATTGTCATTTTTAGCTAAAACAGTGTAATTTACAGTGGCTGTGTATAATATAATAGAGTTTTATACGCATAGGGTACGAAGTTCGAATCCCCTCCGACAATCTAATATTGTTTGCATTTCATCTTAATTTTTTTTTTAAGTACAAAAAAAATTTAAAGTTTGTTTGATTTTTATCTCATTTAAATTGAATAACTTCAATAAATGTCAAGAATCCCATCACTGTAGTCTTCCTTCTTAAGAAAAAAATTCTTAAATAATCCGTGCAAAATTTCAATACAAAATTGACATTTTTAACTTATTTTTTGATCTTTTAATTTTTTTTAAATTTTTAAATTTAATTTTTATGAACTTTATAATTTAAAAATGTTAAACATTTAATTACAATTGTAGTTCAACTTGCAAGTTAAGAATTTATATAATTAAATAGAAAATTTTATGAGATATAAAAAATTTATTTTTTAGATTGATACGTGATCAGGAACTTATAAAATTACTATTAACAGTAAATTTAAAAAGAAAACTCAAATTTCGTTAAAATCACTATTTTTTTTTGTATTTTTATTGTAATAAATCATTTAAATATAAGTCTTAGTAATCATTAGTCTTAGTCTTAGTAATTCTTGGTGTTTAAATAGATGCTACAATTGAAATATTAAGAATTATATTCCGTATAGTTATATTCAGGAATCGGAATTTAAAGCATTCGCTCATATTTTTAGATTAACATAATAAGTAGCAGAGTGCTATGTAAGTTTATGGCATGTGACAACGAAATCGTATATAAAATTTAAATATGCTTCTTTTTGCTTATTTTGATGCTTTTTTTACAAATTATGTTTTTATAGTTTTTATAGTTTTTTTTGCATATATTGCTTATTTTATACATTTAAATACAATTTATAACAATGACACAAAAAATTCTCAAAATTTTAAAGTTATTTTTCTCGACTTCAAAGAAACAAAAAAATTTAAATATGTTTAACTTATACTATGTCAATTAGATTGATATAATATTTATGAAAATCAGTGTATTCCCTTTATAATAAAATAAAATACAAAACCAAGAATTTTAACACAAAAATAACATATATTTGAATACGGTAGCTATTTTCACCATGAAAACAAAATAAAGTCCGAATTTTTTTTTTAATATTTAAGTATATTACATAAGCTTTAATTTAAGATATATTTAAAAGTGTCAGTAATTCCGGAAAATATTCAAAAATTAAGTTGAAAAAATTCAACTTTCTATATGCATTTTAAAGATTTAAATCCCCCCTGTATTAAGAGAAATAGTCTGATTAAAAAAAAAAGTATGTCGAATGAAGGAAGTATATAAATATTATTTCTTATAAAAAAATTGTATTGATCCATACATTTTTCAAAAAGTTATAACATTATAAAGTTAAAAATGTAAAATATGAAATCGAGAATTTTCACACAAAAATAGCATTCGTTAGCCATTTTCGCCGTGAAGACAAAATAAAGTCCGAAAATTTTTTTTTCCATAATAAAGTATATTACATTAGCTTTAATTTAAGATATATATAAAAGTGTCAGTATTTCGGAACACTTTCAAAAATTAAGTTGAAAAAGTTAATTTTTGTAAAAAAGTTGTCATTTTGAATCCCCCCCGTGGGCTGGTAAAGGGTTAAATTTATAAAAAAAAATATACCAAATGATAGGTAAACACATCAAGCATCTATAAAAAAAAAAAATTGATTAGGTCATTTTTTAAAAAGTTATAGCAGTGTTAAATAAAAAAAATTGAAAAAATTTCGAAAATTAGCGATTTTTAAATTTGTAATTTTTTTGGAGGTTTCCCCCATTTACAGAGAACGGGGGATTTTTTTCAATTTTTGAAGGTAATGTCTTCGACTAGATACCATTTGTGATCTTTTGACGTATCGTTGAAAGAAATCCGTTAGTTGAGAGCTGAGAAAAAGTGGTAACAGACACAAAAAAAAAACACATCATAGTAAAACCATTACCTTCTCAGCTTCGCATCGAAGCTACAATTAAAAGTGATAGAAAAAGTCTAATTGCAGATTTGAAAACAACGCGAAAAGTTAATTTAGAAAAGTATATTTTTGCTTCTGATGAAAGTTCCTTGTAGTCCAGTACATTTATTTATAGTAACAAACAGTTTTAATTGAAAAATATTGTATCAAGCCCTTTAATTTTTTAATACACGTAAAAGTAAAGCAAAATATAACCTCTTTATTATTTTTATAATTTCTCCGTATAAATTACAATATTAAATTATTGAATATCAATTTCATACTAAATTTAATAATTATAATTAGTATTTATTCATATATTATATTTTAAAATCAAAGAACTACTAATCAGGAAATAATCAAAGAAATAAGAGTTGATGTTGCTTTTGAAATAATCCACCCAATTTCTCTAAATGAAACACTATCTAAAGATTTGCATCGAAGCGTTTTTTTTGATAGTGATTTTAATTACTGTCAGATATCATAATACTTGATCCAACTATGCCACGTCACCACTGTGCCGCGACCCCCTTGTGCTGGGTTTTTTATGCGGTACCTAGAATAAATGACGACTTCTTCGAAACAACAAATTGTCAATAGATAATAGGTCAAAAATTGCTAAATTTTAACAGGCAGTAACAAAAAATTGTTCAATGAATAAATAAAGTTTTTATACTATTATACTATTTTTATACTATTAATACTATTTTATCAACTAACTAAAAATAAGGGTTTCCACAAAAGAAAATTAAAGTTAAAATTTGTTGAGCACCTGTACATTTATGTTACTGTAATTATTCTTTAAGTC